GATAACATACAATAATATATAGTTGTCATAGGTATTAGATGAGCTTATAAACAAAATTTAGAGAAGTAGGAGAAAGGAAAGTGAGTGATTGAGATTGAATAAATATTTTGTTGAAATTGGACCGGTAACAATGAAAATTTACAAATCCAATAGGTATAGAAGAAATGAGTGAAGAAGTGAAGAGTTAGGATAGGATATGCATTTGGAGTTGAGAAAGCAGTAGTAAAATTGAGATCGTCTCACTGGTTTTGCCCTTCAATCAGTCCATCCAACCGTTCAAAGTGTCCTTTCATTAACGATTCCTTTCTTCCTTTCTCTCTTTCTTTCTTTCTCTCTCTCTTCCTATTTACTATATCAATAAATAAGTTTACTTGTACTAAGAGGTACTATTTGTTCTAATAATTGAAATGTTAAAAATCTTAATCATATTTTCAATTTGTCTTGACAAGACTAAAGCTTTTCAACAAACGAAAATCCATCTCAATATTCATTTACTTTTAGCTAGATAATATAATTACAAACTGTACGACCTTTGATCTTAAGTAATGGAAGTTTATTAAAGTTAATAAGTTACTTGACAAATTCCAGTTTCATATGAATTCAAAGGAAACTATTATTATTATTGATAAAATAAATAATTCGCGCATCTTTCTAGAACAATCTATTTTACGCAATTTTTTAAATTTATATGCCGAACTATTGAAATATTTGAAGAAAGATTTTGACATTTATGAAATGAAGTAAAAATTTAAAAATGAAATGAAATAGAAAAAGAACTAAATCTTTTTTTGAAATCAATACAAATAGGATCAATACAAATAGTTGATAGAATGAAATTCGATCAAATAATTTTCTTTATATAATTGGCAAACTTTGAAATGATAAATTATACCAAAATTTTCCTCCTTATTTTTACATCATTTTTGTTTAATTAAATGATAATAAAATTAAAATTGCTATAAGTACCAAAGAGTACCATAACATTCTGAGATCAATAATTTATCATTTTGTCTATTGAATTTCATCTTACCTCAGTTAATGAAATATATATGTAGTGGTAATAGTCGTAGACCATTTGAAATGAAATGAAGGTGAACTTCACGCTTCATCTCACGATGTATTCCATCTCTGACAGTTCCAGTTTTAATCAATCTTTCTCTATATCTCTTTTGTTGCCTTAATCTATTTTTATGTATTTTACGATTAAATTAGGTCTCGAGAAACGGCAGATTGATTGAGGTAAAAATGAATGGAAGATATTGGAAGAAATTTAGAGGAAAAAAAGAATGAGGGACTGGTTCTACAACAATTCAACGATTTAACTCAATGATTGAATAACCAACTAAAATATACAAATGTCAACAATCAAATGTTAAATTTCAATCAGATTCTCTCTATAATTTTTTTCCAATAAATTTATATTTTATTTTTAAATTTTGAAATTTTAAAATTTGAAAAATTGAAAATTTGTGTTTTTAAACTAGTTTCCTTGTAAAATGATATATTAAGAGGCAAATAATTACGAATAATTTGATAAGAATCGAATTTTCTAAATAATATAGTCTAAATTTTAATTAGCAAAATGATCTAATGATTGAGAAAAAGATTGAAATTAAGATGGAATGGATAAGGCAAATGTTGTAGACTATTGAAATATTTAAATGGAAAATAAGTATTGACTGATTGATATATTATTGATGTATTCATTATTTGGTATTGTTTTTTAGACTAAATTTTTATTTGAAAACGATAATTTTCAATATAAGTTTTTGTTTTGTAAAGATAAATTTCCAATATTAATTTTTTGAATCAAAAGATTTATTTTGTCAACTTATGTATTAGATTATGTGATCTTATAATATATTATTGAAGAAATTGGAATTTTAAATTTGACAAATTCAGTATGACAGATAATTTCACTCCAACAAATTGTTCCATATTCATCCTTCTCCTCTCCGACATGTTATCGTCGTTTTTACAATTTGCTAAATGATGAAAATAAAGAATAAAAAGAATTAAGAGAGATGGGTACAGGAAGAAAAATGGATTTTATATAAATAGCAATTTAATATAAATTCCAGTTTCATCATTACAACAAAATATATTATCGTATTAAAAAAATTCTAATCTTATTTAGAAGTTTCAAAATTTTAAATACTATGAAAAAAATTTCTTAATTTTTAATTTCAACAAACACTTAATCTCATCCTATTAACATTATTTTACATTACCGATATGAGAACGATTAATTATGAAATTAATTAGATATGATTCATTCAAAAGAATACAAAAAAATATTTCCAATTAGGAATAACTTAAGATAACAATTTTGTTGAATTTCAATTCAGATTAGTAGAAGGAGAAAAAAGAAGGCGATGAAAAATAGTGGGCGATATGATATTGAAGATTGTTGAAGAAGGAAGAAAAATGAAGAATTTATCGATGACCTACCTGTCATTAATTCTTTGTTGTATGAAGGAAAAGTTTTGCATAAATAGTATGAAGTCATTTTTGTTATGACACACATCATTCATTTGATCATTTATGTGAGATGATGAAAAATAGCAAACATTCCATTTTTTTAATTATCTAATTTTTATCACTATTAATGAGTAATGTATCTAATATTGTTATCACTATTGCTATTGTTAGTTATTGCTATTATTATTACTATCGTTAATTGTTACTATTTATATTAACTATTATCATTTATTCATTCATTATTATTGCTATTGTTAAATATTGTTTATTAATTGTATTGATCAGTTAAAACAATCTTTTGATCACTATTAATTGATAAATTAATCAAAATGTTTTCTAGACTAGTATAGTATTATTATTAGTGTGTTCCAGGACGATCATAATCATCAACAGTATATGATCATGATGCTTACGGATAAGGAATTAAATGAGCTAAAAATAACCTGATAACTTTGGTAATTTATAGTTCTCTAATATACAGACAGAAGTTAAGAAACTTTTCGAATACTTATAAAATTCTATCGGGATGAAATTGCTAAAAATACCCGGTAGATATAAAAATTCTCGATAATCAGTTGCCTTTCAGAAAAATTTCTGCTTAATCTAATTGGATCTATTAATAAATTAATAATACCTTATAGTAGTAAAGATTCCTCATACTGAAATAAATAAACGTGATGTAAATGAATGAATAGAATCCATTTAACATATATGATTTAACATTTAACATTTAGATTTAATTTAACATTTAACATTTAGATCTAAGATTTAACATCTAACATTAAATATTTAACACTTAAGTTTTGAAAATATCAAGCATTTTCCACGATTGTTGTTTTTTGTCAGAAGTTGAAAATTTTCGACTGATTTTTCTCGCTTACCACTGCCGTAATTGAAACATCCTACACTCTTTTGTTCAATAAGACATGTATCATTTCTTGAAAACAGATACTTCTGTCACTTGTCTCATTATGTCGTTTTTAATAAAAACTATTAAAATTCTTTGTGACGTGATAGCTGCAGCTGATATTTTCAAACGATCATTTCAACGTAAATACTGGTTTTTTTTTTTAAATCTACATATTGTATATCCGGTCATCTTTAATAATGGCATATTATTTCTCCGTTAATAAACCAGTCTTTCCAAATAAGATCATTTCTTTGTAAATATCTAGTCGATGAGAAATTTAATTTTATTGCAAATTAAACTAAAAAAAATGGCAGAATGTTGACAAATGTTATTTCCTGTACTTTTTCATGCTAATTACCAATTTTAATTAAAATTATCCTTAACAAAAATAATTTTTCTTGCTATAAATTCAATACGAAAAATAATAGGGTCAGGTATGACCATGAAATCAATGAACGGAGGTGCTGAACCTTTTTGAAGACTCAACATGTAATTCTATGACGAAAAAAAGCATTGCAATCTTCCATGCATCATTAAAAAATGAATTTAATCTAACATCTTCAAAGTGATAATGTATTTATATGCAATTAAATAACAATATAACATAACAATTGCTTTTGCAAGGGGCAGAAAAAATAGAAAAGAGCAAAAAAAATTTAAAAAAGAACGATCGCAGTTATCGGAGTGATTTTTTTAATAAATTTAACGGTACCACAAATGAGCAAAAATATACCACTATATTGTCCTTTGAACGCCTTCTAATAGTAACGATTTGGCTTGACCTTTTAAACATCTGGATTAAAAATATGACGAATTTGTCGGATTCAGTTAACTTTTCACTCAGACAATCATCGCTTGCCCATAAAATATTTTCTGTATGAAATCTAGATCAAAGGATTTTTCTAGCCCCACAATTAACTATTATTATTATTACGCAACATCACTTTATCACTACATTATTTCGATGAAGCTATGGTTAAAACCGCAAGCCTCCAAAAACGGAACTGAACAGAACGAAATGAGAGAAATCACATATATTTTGAAAATACGGAAGTGAGAATTAACATATATATATTGAAAACAATAATAAAGTAATTCTGCAATATGCCGAACCCGTTTGAAGATGAGAAAATTAAAAACTGAGCAACGTTCTAAACGTTCTAAATACAATGTGCAACATCACTTTATAAGAACTACTACGACAATGGAATCTGCCTAATAATAAATTTGCCCGAAGGAACACGTTGATATAAAGCCAGCGATGTACTTGGATTATAGGATTTAATAAGTATTTGTAGAACTCAGTAAAATCTATTATTCTTTCTGCACATTGTATTCTTCGCACATAATAACAACAACAATAATACATAATAAACATTCACTTTTTATAAACATACAAAAACTATCCAATTCTATGTTGTCTATTAATTTCATTCTCCTCAATAACTTTCAGAAAGATTTGCAAAATAGAAACCTACTTCTAAGCGTGTTAATATTGTTCGTTGGCTTTCATACAATCCTCGTTATGAAAAATAGAATAAAGAAGCTACCCCGACAGGATAAAATCTTGAAAGTTACTCTGTTCAATTATTTATCTCTCTTCATTATTTCAATTTATTGATGAGCTAATATGCACTAAACTCATCCAAGCAGAAGAAGCAGCACAACGAACTATTTCATTGAATTGTTCTCGCACTGTATGATCTGCTTCCATCAACAATGACCCAGATTCATTGCACTTACGCTCCTTAAAGAAAGGAGAAACGAAATAAAAGAAACAACAGTAAATGAAATTCGAATTAAAGTTGCAATTTTCTAGAATCAGTTCTGTCTCTTACTGTTTACTGCATTTATTAAAACTATAATTATCGCCATAACCTTATCAATTAAAACATTTTTAAAGCATACAAAAGTGAATGCCTTTTACTTCCAAATTTAAGTTAAAAAGGATACAAGAAACGCCTTACTCTTCTCCTTCACTGTCATTTATAATTTAAAACTAATTTCATTCCTGAAAGCCCGTAGAAAGAGCATAATTCAGCTGCAAGAGAACAGAAAATACCTTTGCAAGCAATTTCATCTGCAAAGGTTCACCATTTTGAGCCGTAAAAAGAAATATGTCCTGTTGAGATTCAGGAGTAATGATCACGAGATGCTACAATATACCATATACTGTCAAATTCAATATTTAAATTTATTTTTAATGACATGATGAAAATTGATTTCAAATGGAAGTTAGAAGCGTGCGTGAGCGGGGTTTTTCAAATCGGCACATGTGCTTATGATATCAGACAACACTGTCACTTTGATCCTAAACCAAACTCAACTACTACTCAGTTTGAAACATTTTAATGGGCTAAAAAATTTCATTGTAAGTTTCATAAAATAAAAATCAGTGATTTCAAAATAAATACCTCCTTTACTGATGAACAGAATAATCGACATTTTTGCAGACCAAAATGTTGAATAAGTAACTTGAAGAATACTCCAGGATTCAGATTATTGACTAGAGAATCCAATAACGGCTCATAAATATTCAAAGATTCAGATTTAACATAACCCAATAAATTATCCAAATCCGTTGTTGTACGATATGTTGAAAGTGCTAGCCGTAACACTGAGGTTACATCACTACCATGACGAGCCAATAGCTTCCACTGCTCGGTCATTTCAATGGTTTCACGTTTTGTCACGTGTTTTTCTAATATGTCATCCCAAAGCTGAAGTAAAAACCAAGGACAATAAGTTAAAACGTTAAAACTTTTTGGATGCAGACAGTTATGCTACTGAAGTTAAATTATGCGAAAAAATCTTCTGTTCTACAATATTTTTATACCAAGCGCTAGATAGAGTACTGAGCGAAATCTCTTTTATTTGCCCAAGTCAATGATTTATATCAAACGTTTGATACCAAATTAAACAGACTTAATATACTTGATAGACATGTTAATCTATGTTTGAAAATATTACGTGAAGTTATAGAACACTTGTAAATTTAGAAAAAAGATATAAGAATAAGAGTAAATTTACCTGATTCCTTTTGCAATGCCATACAGCATCTTCAATTATCATTTGTAGCTTTCGCTTATAATGCATCACTCTATCCACCAGTTCTTTTTGCAATCTCTTCTGCCGCCTGTTCATGTAATAGACGTAAAATGCTTGCTCACGAGGCACTATTGTCGTTGAATCCGACAGGCTGATACCGTCTTGAAAAAGGAAGTTTGAACAAAATCATATTTATCAAACCTTAATTCCAAGTCTCTCTTTGTCAAAAAACTATTCCATGTATTGGTTGACGATTATGGCTGACGTAATGTGTGCTACAATATAGGCTATATCAGAACATGAACTCTTTAACAAATAGTAAGTATTGTGAAATTTTAGGAAAATTTGTTGCGAAAACACATACCACGAAAGTTTGGTCGTGTTCTGCAATGTCGTAAAGGCGCAATATTTTGAATGGATAATTTCTGTATTTTTTCCTTTGATATCTGTATTTTTTCATTTGGTATTGAACAACACTCATTTAATTCCATTCCTGCAATATTTGACATATTTTTTTAAATTAAGTTTTCAATACAAATTTATATCAGAAATTGAGACTGAAACTATTCGGATAATCTTAATAGACCATTAATTCATAAATATGTGTCTTAAAGAACACATTATTTTCGGATTATAATTTTTTGAAATTACTCAAATTCCTGTTTCATTAAACTAAGTTACAGAAGAAACTCAACAAATGCAAAAATATTTCTAAAACATTTTTTCCCAAAAGAAAGCACTTCAACCATTAAATGGGAATCTATATGGACAGATTACAAGACCTAGGAGAGCGCCAATATGTTGGATTATGATAACATCAACACATAATTTTTTTTACTGACCATTTGAATAATTGCGCGGAAGTGCCGTTTCTTTTGGTGAACCATTATTCTCTCCACTGTGAAATCTTCGCCTAGTACAAGCGACCGGTGCACACCACGCACTGGCATTGCTACAACAATTTTAAGTTGATAATTATTAGACCAATAACAAGTGTCAAATGTTGAGGAAATAATATTTTACCAATTTTAAATTCGAATTTGAATTTAAAATTGGCTGCAATCGAAAGTTGAATAAAGCAGATGCAAGTATGACAGTTTATTAAAAATAGAGCATTAAATCGTTTTAGAAGAAAGAAATTATAGCCTTAGAAACGAGAGTAAGGAAGAACAAGAACAAGAATAAGCGGGAGAGGTGTAAATACAAATGAATAATTACTTATACATACAACTAACGTTTGAATCACTAACATTCCATGAAACAATGAAATGTAGTTTAAATAAAATTAAAATTAAAAATCGACTTACTCCCGCGCTCCAAGGCCTCCAACACTTTTTCGAGAGATTTCCAAATTGCAGCCTACATTCAAACCTTCTAGCTCTTCAAATTCACCGCTTATTTTTGCATCACATTCACATTTCGCATCCAACTCCAAACTTTCGACTGATGGATCAGCTAAATAAACTTAAGCAAATTCCATAAAAATTCAAATCCGGATTTGGAACATTTTTTTCCGCACAAATAATTTACATTTGAAAGCTTTGAAAAAAAAAACTTACTTTTCTCATGGGAAACCAGCATAACATAGAATTTTATAATCAGCGTTTTTCTGGCATAAAGTTGGTTTTCATGAATTATTGCTCGAATTTCCTTATAAGCTGATCCAAAACAATCCTGAAATTTATTTTACAAAAAGAAAAAGAAAAAAGAACACACAGATACAAAGCATTTACGAAAAAGAAACCGAAAAAAAGTTAGGAAAAATTTTTACCGTATCATCCTCCGTAACAATCATAAATTGCCCAGGCATATCCATTTCAATTGTCTTCAAACGTACTATACGCCAATTATTACGTCTTTCATCCAACAAATACTCCCAAACTTTTTGATTTGTCACAGGTAGATTAGGAAATGTCATCTGGAAATTATGAGAAAGATTTTAAAGAATTACCATTCCCGCCTGTGTTTTGTAAGCTGCCTTTCTTAGTCTTACTTTAACGATGGTCAAATAGTAAATTTGGTAAATTTCTGACAAAAAACAACCAACTTTTTCTTCATAAATACAGTTGGAAGCATTAGGTGGACGGCAATTATAGTACTGTAAAAAACTAGTTAAAAACTCGTTCGTATTATATCCGTAATTGAAAAGAACCTGAAAATAACATGTAAATAACATACAATATTATTTGATTTCTACTTTCACTGGCTGTTTTTAAATATCCAGACCATCTTTAAGCATATGATACAGAACTTCTCACTTTCGATAGGATGTATACATTAATAAACACGGAAGCTTAAAATAAGATTTAATATCTCAGTCTATACATCCTTCATTAAATCATGCTGCAATCTTTGATCTTGTGAAGGGTTTAATTATAGCATATTTAATCCTCGTTCCGCTAAATTGTAAATAAGTTGCAGTACCTGTTGTCCACCGATCAAATATGTGGCAACAATGTGTAAATGAAAATCATAGGTGAATGAATGAACGTGAGCCTTTGATATAATCCTATCCATCAACGTATAAAGGTCTTTTTGATCGTTATAATCAAAGTTTCCATCACAATTTATTTTCAATCGATTTAATTGTGCAATACTCCATAGTAAACACTGAATGCTAAAAGTTCGAAAACTATAATACAAATTCGAAAGAATGTCAAGAGAATATTCAAAATTCCTCTTAATGTTAGTGCCAAAATATGGGAAACTATAATAAAAAACTGCTAAAGGCATTTTCAAAAACTCGTATATTCAATAGATTATTGCATGAAAGAGATCAAAGTAAATCGACCTGCGAAAAATCAAAAATTCGCAAATGGATCAATTCACTTCAGATGAATTATATAGTTAACTTTTCCAAAATCTTTCTAAAGCAATACGATTTAATTTCAATTTCAATAAACCTGAAATGTGGCTCAATGATCGTAATATGAACGAATAAAATGCCACCATCACAAGCTTTGTACATCCAAACATTAGGTGAAGATTCGGTATTCTGGAATTTAATAGAATGACATAGAGAGTATCTCAACTATTATTTAACAGCATTTCAAAACGAAAAATAATCTGCTCTTGGTTATATTCTCTTTCTGTTACGAGATGAAAAGTAACTAACAATAGTTTGTCAGAAAACCTGGAATTGGATGATTTGAAATCAGGTAATTTGAAACTAAAATAAATTCAGTAGCATTCGCTACCTAGAAATTAACCTGCATATCGTAGTGCAAACCGTAACGAGCACCTGCTTGTCCCGTTACATCCAACAATTTTAGTCCGCTCTTCGTTAGATATTTCACATAACTCTGAAAAATAAAAGTGGTCAATGGCTCCTAACTTTCGAAATAAAAAATTGCTGATAACTATTGTACCCATTATATAAATGATAAAACTTCTATAACTTTAATTAAATACGACTTTTCGCAACTTGAATAAACAGAATTTATAGTTCAGTACAAATTAATGATTGAAAGCTGTAAGTCAAACATTTATAACCTATATCACTTAAATAATCGAGACTTAATTTATTCTTAGCAATACACATTTGAGATATTTGAGACTCGTTTACAAAAACTTCCAAAAAATTTTCCGCTAATATTTTTTCGAAAAACCATTTAACAAAAGCATTTACCTCAACAAGCATAAACTGTATCTTCAAACAACACGGTTCATCCTCTTCCAAACTCTTTTTAAACTTTCGTAACGTACGATCGGATGAATACAATGATGCACCAAAGGTATTTGAACGAGTTGTGCGCACCTTCAAAGAATATAATGCTATATTCATAGTGAAATAATTGGATATTTCTCTTTATTACTCTCGGATAATGCTTAATGTAAAATAATAAAAAAAGGGACATATAACTTTAGATTATTCAATATGTAGTTGATTTATTTGTTCCCTCTCTTACACTTGCAAATTTTAAATCGTGATCCGCATCATGAATGCCATCATTACCGGGAGATATCTTTGAAAAAGTGATATTTTGTAGCTTTCGATTATTTTCGAAAAATTTCAAGTTAAACCGAATTTCCTAAAAAACTAACGAGATTTCTTGGACTCTGATTATTATCATCCTTGATCAAGCTTTAATTGATCATAAGGTATTTATGCTAACGCGAGAAATGCTTTTGTCTTGAATAACTGCTAAGATATAAACTGTTCTAAATCGATCTACTCAATGTGTCTCGGAAGATGCCAGCAAAATTTAGCTTTCGAATGATTATATTATATCGCTAGGCAAAAAAATATCATTACAACGGATTTACATGTGATACTGAAGAGTTATCGAAAAGTGACGTTTTCGAGCCACTGACATGTCTCGGAGGTAAATCAGCTATCACTGCTCGTTTAAAACTGGAATGAAAAATTTTTTAAATTCAAAAAGATTGACGAAAAAATGTATTGATAAAAAGCAGTACTTATATGATGGAGTCTGAAAATGATTATTTTCAACCGAATTCTCAAACTGATTTTTTTGTTTAAATTTGAAAATTATTAGAAAAGATGGATCCTGCTCTCTATACATATTGCTTTCTTTATCAAAATTACAAATTATTATTGCTCTTTGATTACAATTCACGGCTAAAAAATTAATTTAAATATTCTTGCCTCATCGCATTTTCAGTTCCTCTTCGAACAACTGCTACTAATTTACGCCATTTCGGGAAAAGCAACAGAGGTGACTGAACAAAATGTATTACCCGGCTACGAGAAACAATTTTCAACAAATCGGATTCTCTGATTTCATGGGTGCCACTCATCAGTTCATCGTGTATCCGATTAAATTTCTCACAGTCGTGAAGCAATGATTTCATCTATTATTTACAAAATGAGCAGTGACAGAGCACTGAAGCAAAGCAACTTATCATTAAATTAAAAGTTTGAATTTGGACTTTCAAAAGCGAAATTCATTTAAAACATATTAAAATAAGGCAAAAAGAAAATTCCTAAAATCCCTACATACAAAAGTATGATATAATTTCAGTCTTTTGCTAGCAGCGATACTATTTAATAAAAAATTTGTGAAGTTTCCAAGTCCTTAGCTCCTATTTCTTGCCAAGACCTCAATATGCTGGGAAAAAAAGCTTCATCTCAAACAATCAGAAGAGTGTCCAAAAAAAATTTCAATAGAAGGATTTATAGTAAAAAGCTTTAATCAAATAATTTAGAATATTAGCTCCGACAATATGTTTATTGTTTGTCTATTTTCTCACAACAAAGTGTATTGCGAACAAAGAATCGTTTGCTAATTAAGCGATGAAAGAATCTTAATATCAAATAAAGATCCATAAATTCACGACCTTCAAATGAAGCGATTTCTTTTTCCATTATGTTAAAGCTAACTTTTTTTTCAATTCTCAAATATTTTCAAAATTAGAGACTATAACGGAGATACCTGTTTTTCAAGAAAAACCATTTGAGAGCACTGATCTTCGAATAGGTTATTGCTGCTCAAATTAAACGGCAAAAAATCCAAGGTTATATGTCGATAAAGGTGCATCAACGGTTCAGCCTGGATGTACTGTACTCCTCTCACTAATCTGAAAAAATATATTTCAAATCTTTTCACCGATGATAATCAAAAATCGATGATAATTATGTCTTGTCGATCACTTTGCATCAGTGTATTAAGTATTAACTGCTACGCACTAATATTTAACGTTGTTTAATGCATTTACATTCCATTTATATATTTATATAACAATTGAAGGTATAAATATTCCAAAATGAATGTTTCAAGTGTGCAGGGAAGAGCACATGCAAATGTTTCAAGTGTGTGGGGAAGAGTATATTTTTTAAACCAGAGTGAGACATGAAATAAGATGATTTAACTAACAAAAATTGTAAGGTAAGTTAGGAATCATAACTAAAACTTGCTAATCACATCCGAATTAAAAAGTTTGGATTCCATTTGAATATTTAAAACGATAAAAAGAAAAATTTGTCACTTCGTGACATCTGCAAAATCTCTATAAATGATCCAGGTCATAAATACTGAGAAACTTGGCAGACGGTTAGCTTATTTCCAAATTTATTCTAATTTTTGCAACTCAAGGAGAGCAAAAAATTATAATTATAGTCATACAGGATAGTTACTCAACCTTGAGATTTAGAAGCATTGATTGCTTCTGAAATTAACCTTATACATTATAAATAGTTTTCCAAAATATAATCATTCTCAGAAAGCACTTTTTCAAATCATCAAGCAGACTAATCTATTATTTGTTAATACATATATTACGATGTTATTTTAAGGATTTCCTTAAATGATGGCAGATATCAGTGATAACAAAACTGTATTGAATTTGTTTTTAAATGTCATGGAAAACGAGTTTATCTATAAGTAAAAGTCAAAATTTTTCTTCTAATCAGAACAACACCTTTTATCGAAATATATAGATCCATGCTGCGGAATTTCATATTCACTCAATAGCTCACTATTTAGCCAAACCAGCTCTTCATCAGTTGGAGTGATTCGACCAGATAAATGTGTGACACCCATTTTATGCAAACCAATTTCTCGAAGCAGTCGTGATCGAGCATTCTGCCACGATAATACATTTGCAACCATTTGATAAATTTGTTCTGCGGCATCCGACGAATAATTGTACAGATACAAGGTGGCCTATTAATTGAATTTGCTTAATAAATCAATGAATTAAAAACAATAATTCGTAATTTATGGTTTAAGAATTGCAACTTCATTAGGAAATTTACTAATAAATATATTTATATATATATATATATAGCACTAATTTGCACTAATATTTCTTAAAAGATATTTCATAATTTCATTATTCTGACCTAAAACAAAGATTAAGAAGAATACATGGTTAATTATGAATATTCATCCTTACGTTATCGCCATTCTTAAACTAAGAAATCCGTTACAGATGTTTTAATCGGATAATACAAAATTTTACCGAATCCAGTTTAAATAACGATTCACAAAACAATAATTTAAAAGTGTAATTTCGCATGTTGTAAATTTATCATCTTATGCTTGAATTATTCTATTTTGCAAAAAAACTGACAAAAGAATTACCGTTTCGCCCTTCGACAACAGATATAAAAGATGCTGTCTTGGAACAAATGGGGCTATTTGTGGTAAAAAATGCATCGAGCTAGCTAAAAAATTAAATAATTGAGACAATTTTTTAAACCTAGGAAAAAACAATTATGACTTTCATTGATTATTCCGTTATTTTATTCAATCATCTATCACGGATGTAACCAAGCAACAGTTTACTCAAAGTTTATAAAAAACTACTCTAGCAATGTCATCACTTCAAGTTCTGACAAATTAATAACTTACAACCAACCCATTCACTGATTATGCATCTAAACTCATTTACGCAGACAAAATATAATTTCATTATAATCAATAAAGTAAATGCCTGGTTTCGAAATCAATGGATGTGAACGGTAATTTCAAACAAATAAAAAATTGCTCAAACCTTTTTGATCATGCAAGACTTCCTCTATAGCTGCTGGTATAATGTTTGAGCGTGAATCTGCGCCATATTTCAATATCGCCTCTGAATATTGGAAGTTATAGGCAAGCATTATTAGTGAAGGTTCTTCGTTTTCTCTTGCCACTATCCGACCGCTATCATTCTGAAATATGCAGGAAATTTTTTAAATCAGTCTTAAAATCAAAAAATATAAAAATAATTTGAAATTTTAGTGAATAGTTGATGAAAATTACATGAACATCTCGAACCATTTTCTTACTCTTATTTTCAATCACACGAAGAAAAGTGACTAATTTATTTTTAATTCAAATAAAGAAATGCGGTACTGTAATCTTTAAACAAAAAATTTTCTGAAAAATGAAAAAATTTAGATAAATAAGCAACGAATACAATAAAAGTTACGGCATCATCATTTGTCGAGCTTTGTGCTGAAAAACGTTTCAAATTATGTGCTTCCAATTGTCGTATTATGATGGTTTCATGCTTCAAAATGACAGATAATTTATCCTTTATAACGCTAAATATCTGAAACATTATATCGATATGAGTTTTTAAAAATATTCTGATAAAACAGCGATTACAACTAACCATTTAAAAAAGCATTCTGACATGAATAATCTTGATGATGCTTTCATTATCTTCATTTGAAAATTATTATTGAAGTCAAGTGATAAAATCATTCAAGTCGTGATTTCAATGTGGTACTATATAATTGATTCGTTGAAAGTGATTCATATATTACGTATACACATTGACAATACAAACATTTCATAGTGTTTGATACTGTTTAATGAATATACTCTTATTAGACAGAGTTTAAACAAAATCTTATATTCCACCTTCCGAACAGAATGATCGCTTTCGCAATGAAATGTATGTCTTTTGATGGAAAACTGATGTTCCGTATTCTTTACTTCTGAAACGACATGATCGAACCACTGTGCAGCTACCGTAATAAACTGATAATTGATTGAAGTACCAGATTCACAATCATTGTTGCTTGGAGCACCTGACAATGATTAGTGTACAATTGACAAAAACATGCTTTAAAAGAACTAAACATATGTAGCAGTTTCCTGCCTTAGAAACCATGTCTTTTCGGTGTGTCGATATTCCAAAAGATAATGGCCCAAATACCAAAAACCTAAATAAAATACTTTGAAATTAAGGTCCCACATTATTTTGTTATAATTTATCCTTGCATAGTTTTTGCAAAAGTTTTTTAGCTATTGTTCCTGAGACTTTGAAAACAAAATGTTGCATAAAATACAAAACACTTTATCCACTAAAAGCTTGGTAGTACTTTCTGATTTGCGGGAAACTGGTTGTAATGGCAACTGTTCTAGAAGTGGTGATTGCGTATGCGATTCAGTTTTTCGAAGTGGTTTTGCCACAAATTTTAAATGTGAAGCATCACTGCAGGATCGTATTCTGAAAAATGAGCAAATTATTTTTAGGGCAAAGTTCTGACCAATAATGCATATGTTAAGTTTGAAAAATAAGCAGCAGAATTCACCAAAACGACTGAAGAATTTTTTTTCTAGATCTGTTTATTATTCTTAAATTTTAAGTGGAGAACAATGCAACCTTTCTTCACATCCAACGTATGGCACAACCAGCATATTTGCAGGTGAATAACGAACGCTGTTAGCAACTTCCACCAAAGGAATACTTAAAAGACCAAATTCACTGATTAAATCACAGAGCGCCTGGAATTTATTTGCAACTTGAAGAGAAATGCATATCATTAATCGGTTGACAAAAAATTTGGAAAATGAAACTAGTAATTTGAAATAAAAATACACATACTATATTACATGAACAGTTAACGAATGAAGGACCTCTTCGACGAAACTGAGATATACGACGATTTATCATGTAAGACATATTTTAAAAAAGTTGATAAATATCAGTCATAATTTACATCCACTAAGAAATTACCTGCTGCAAAGCTAATCGAAATATTGGTTGCAAAGATGCTAAGCCAACATCGCCCACCTGCCAAATTGTATACTGAACCAAATATGATACGCCACCTAAAGGATAGTTTTTCATCATAAAAATTTGTTAAAGCTAAAAATAATAAAGTAAACCACAGCAATGAGATCAGCCAAAGTCGCCAACTAACGGATGATCTAAAAATATAAGAAAAAGTCTGCCAAATGGCACATATTCCTAGCAACAAATTCTACGAGTTATGACAGCTTTAAAAAAAATTATATACCTGCTTTTTCGGAAAGTAGTGATTCGGGTAAGGGGAGCGACGTAGTGATACAACGTGTCAGTTCATGAAAACGTTCATTTGATGAAAGACGAAATTTGCCACCTCCCGGATATAATTTTGAGCGAGTGCTTGAACTAATCCGTGCATATTTCAGCGAATCTACGCAAGCACCACTTGAATTTACTATGCGCGTCTCCACACAAGCAATTCCTGGAAAAAAAAAGCATTTTTAGCTTAATCAATAAAGCATTCTCAACAGTTTAATATGTTTAACGAGAAACTTAACGTGCAAAATTATTTTCAATAAATGCTTGAAAATAAAATTTCCATTGGAATGCCATCAACAGATTCATACCACAATATAATTTCCATCCTGGATAAAGAAAAATGAAAATCAAAAGTCTAAATCAAAAAATTTTTGTTTTTTTGATTTTTTTTGTTAATAATGATTTTAAAATAAATGCAATAAATTCGCACCCATATTCGATGAACCTTTTGTGGGTGGCTTGCTTATTAGGAAGAAATGTGGAACGTAATTGTTGCAGGCCGGTTGAGAACCGGATTGTGAATGAAAACACGATCGCTCGTGCGACAACGGAGTATTTTTATTCAAACCACCGCTACAATCCCGAAATCGAGCTTCTGTTGTGAATGTGAGCATCTGCTGGTACATATAATAGTAGAGTGATCCGAGATAACCATAAATATAATTCGGTAAAGTGCAGTAATGTACTGCGAACGGTTTGGCTGGATCACGCTGAATGAACTGGAAAAAAAGGATAAAAAAGAGAAAATGTAAGTTATTTTAAAATTTTAAAATCTGCATTGAAAAAGTTATGGCTTTTCAATTCAATTTTGTCACTCTTTTTCGCCAATAGCAAGATTTTAAATCCAGTTTTATCTTTATCCTAACTTACTACACTGCTAATCCTCACCGCTTAAATATTAAATTTAACGAATTCATGACAAAATAAGTAACAAAATTCTCAATTGATTAAAATACTACATTTGTTTGAATATAAGTCATACTTCGACATCGGTTGTTGTCAGCCGAGTTCGTGGGTTTTTGTACAGAATATCTGTTAACTCTTCGAGAACTTTTAGTTCGAGCCGTTTTTGCATAGCATCCACAATTGAGTGAATTATTACGGCAGGTTCATGAATTCCGTGAACTGTCAACAGTACATTATTTTGAAACTTTTCATTCATCTAAAAAACCGTGAATGCAAAGTAAATTTGCAATCATTTACGATTAAATTTTATATCATTTCAATGAGACAATTTTTATAAAACTAATTCAAGAGCAACATTATCACCACCAAAGCAATGAACAAGTTTTCAAAAGTTGTCTGCGATTTACTCATAATCTGTTAAACTGGTAAGGTGTTCCATTTCAAATATTACAGAGACATCATAAAAGGTAGTCTTTTATGTCTTAAAAGTTAATGAATTGAACAATCTCCGGTAACTAACCTCATCGATGTTAGTCGTATCGCAATGTAAGCATCTTTTTCTGAAACTTTCTTCACTAACAAAAAGCTGCATGTAAAATACATTTCGTTTATTATCTTCACAACATACATATAAGTTATGACGATTTCGGACCGCAAATTGTTCGATTCCTTGGCGCAAAGCATCATATCCCATTACTAAAATATTTTTCCAGGAAATTAAATACTGGAAGTAAAGTCCAATAAAATAATAATCAGCAACATATACTCCGAATTCATTGCGTTTTTATTCTAAAAACAGTTATTCCAGAAACTTTCGGAATCTAAAAAAAATGAAAAATGTTCACCTAAGGAACATCCTACTCCTTTCTTTTCGATATGCAATCGAGGATGTATGTAAAACCAATGATGCGTTATGATTCGGCACGCAAAATGACCAGGAGGATAAAAGATCCGTGCTGGCATATACGATGCAGCATCCACTTCATCCTCATCAGAATCTGTAAAGATATTAGCATTTGATGAAAAAATCAGATGAAGAATGAACTGATATCTGAAGACAAAGAAATTCAACATAATATGTGGGCTTATGAATTCTAATCCAAAATTTCTCTCTCCTTCTTTTAAATCTCAAATATATTTTAAACCATTATTTTTCTCCGGACGCAAAACTGTGATTCGAGTATAATTGAAATTTAGAATAAGGAGAAAAGGAAGTTCCCCATAACCTAACCCAATCTTTCAAGCAAGAATTGATCTCTTCAAATGCCCTGAAACAGATCAAGCATGACGTCAGATCAAAGAAAAAAAACAAATTATTGTTTTTTGCAAGATATCCCAATAGTCATTTATTTTCGCGAAATCGACACTGTAGATAATCATATCACAAAAATCTGCCCTAACAAATGAATCATCGAATTGGTAGTTCAGAATAGTATAGTATCTTTATTAAGTATAATGAAGATTTCAAAATGCTGATTTCAGATGAGCTTATACCAGAAAAAGAAAGACCTACTTAGTGGCATATTTCGTCAGAGCTTTGAGTTATCTCTATTAAACTAATCTAGCTAAAAGTTATGAAGTGGAAGATTACATGAAAAGCTGAAGTTCTTCTTGGTCTTCGATGCTGCGCGCTTATGTATCAGCGAACGAGTTAATTTTGTATCAGGAATTAAATTACGTAAATCTGAGGGAACAAATTTATGTGACTGTGTTTCATTTTCTATTAATAAATCGTCGCATTCGTTAGCTGAATGCATTTTTTCCAATAAAAGCTCCTGAAAATGTGAGTTTTTGCTCTGTTTCTAATTTTTCTAAAAAATTAGATCCGACCACTTTGAAAGAAATACTATGAGCTGAATAATATAAGCAAGAATTTAAAATGATAAATTTCAAGAAGTTTTAAGCGATAAAGACACAATGGACAGAAAGAATAAAGTGTCATACCACTACAACAGCCATGATTGCTGTATTTTCGACTACCATACTCATTTTTATGATAGCTGACTGACATGCCAATATAACACAACTAGAAACATATGGCTGAGTGACTGAAGAATGATTTTTAAATTCTATCAAACCACTATTGCCATGTGTAAAAAAAATTACCTGATTGATGATATGACATTCTCTTTGTATTGCTTCCAAAAGCAGCTCAAAAATTTTTTCGTGATGGTGTGCGTATCTAAAAGGAAAAAATTTGCTAATAAAAAATAAACTAAAATCAAAGCCAACTAAAATGCTCTAGCCTCCCTAGGTTGAATTAAAATCTTATGTATTTAAAAATCAAAAATTTACTCTTGTGGGCTTAAATCGAGAAATGAAAAAACACAGATGATATTAAAAAGCGTAATCTTGCCTTTCACAAAAGAATGCTTGTATTTGCTGCATTTCAACATTTAAAATAATCCAAAAATCACGTAGTTTAAGATCTTTACAACGAGTTCGTTCTGAAATAATGTTGATGACCTTTTTGACAGCAAAACTGAAATTTCAGGATTCTAATCCTGAAAATCAAAGAAAAGTTCAAGGTGACCTTGATCTTCGCTCCTCCTCTCCCTCTTCTATGTTTTAAAGCATAGAAGTTTAAAGATAGAGCATGACAAAGATATCGATGGAATCGATGATGATGAAGATATTTGTTGTGATATCAGGTATAAAGAAATAACACTATATTTCCAGACTTGATAGTGATAGCTTTTAACCCTGCCGATTTGAGACATAAATGTTAGCTTATTATTAGTTGCAGAATAAATATTATTATTAGAGTTCATAAACTACTAAATTTTATTACGAAAACAAAGATTCTGCCTTCATATCTTCAAAATTAAGTATTTAATGTACCTGTAGTTCTCGAGTGATCTGCATAATTCTCAGAAAATCTATGGTCAGCCTTTAAAACCGGTACGCTGTTATTTCTGCAACTGGTTACCATTGTATTAAAACGCGAATGTTAATATTAAATTTTACCTTTTTCTACTTATGGAATCTTAATATTGAATTTTTCCCTACTTAAAGCTATATAATCGACTCGAAACTGGATTCGACAAATTTGAGAAGTATACAATAAACATAGACCATACCTCCGTCTTTTTAGTTTCTTAGTATTCAATACTTCCATACTTGATACTTTCCTTGCTATTGTCAAGCTTGTTTGCTCTTTGACATGTTCTGCGAAGCTGCTACTGCTTCGTCGTGATAACTAAATTCGGATGATTTTATAAGTGTTTAATAAAGCGCATAAACATTCCACATGCAAAATTTTTATTTTAAAATCCGAAAATTCTAAAAGGAATAATATAAAATATCAGTTCCAAAATTTATTTCAAAAACAAATATAGAGTTTTAGCTCCAGAATTTAAAATTAATAGAAATAAGATAAAAATCATTAATTCACAAAATAACGACCTTCAGCGTTATACTCCCCGCAGTACGTATTTGTTTCCTCAATATGTCTTCATAAAAACCAACATCCACTACATGACAACAGTAAAACAAATTACTGGATTCCGGATGCGCTTCTAATTTACAATAGAGAAGATCAAGGTTTTTAATACGCTCTTTCAGACGACGTACGGCTTTCGTTTGTTCCATTACCACGATAAGTTGCAATTGCTTCAATTTGAACCGAATCGTGTCATTCTTCTCACGTTGCTAAAGCAGTATGCATTTTTTTTTACTCATACTACACCTCCAAAGACTCAAAATTAGTGTTTTATTTCAAGTTGCATTATCTGTCGTTTGATGTGCTGGTATCTTCTAAAAAATTTAAAATTTGATTTGATTTTATCATTCATGACGATTTTATTAGTGTCACTGATTTTTTCTTCTTATCAATTATCGGAGGATTATTTTTACCGCAGAATAAATAGCTGAGCGTGAAGACATTACGGTTAAGTAGAAGGTGAATTAGAAGATGAAAAGTAGGTGAAAAATATTACAGTTAAGTACAAGGTGAAAAATTGATAGCAATGATACGCTTTTTTTTTGCAACAAAGCACAAAATGAAGTAAATAAATTAATAACTAATTCTTCGACTTAAAAGTGTTTATTTGCAATGAATGCAGAAAGTTATCTCACTTCCCCAATTCTCCAAATCGACAGTCACGAGGTGAACAGATAATTTGGTAACCTACACTGGCATATATTAATATCAGATAGGATTAATCATAACTTAGATATATCTAAGTACTAATGAATTTTGGATAAGAAGTTGACAAAAAAAGTTAAGCCATTAAATAATTTGCAAAACGAAATTATCGGTAACCTGCAAGAACTAAGCGGTAACGTTGCTGAGCAGCTCTAAAGTCAGCCATGAAATAGCTATATGATTAAATGAACCTTTAACTTTAAAATCAAACTATCAAACAATAATGTGAGGTTTAGGAACTTGCAAGAACACTATGTACTAAGTTTCTCTAATTTTGATGCATGTACTTAAGATTTTTTAAATTTAATTACTTAGAATAACTCCATTATTGATTTAAATTTACCTCTTTGGCAATGAATACCATTACTTTGTGCAATGTGTCAAGCGTCACATCATCGTATCTTGATAACACAAACACTGTTTCCATATGAAGTAAACGTGTAATTCCACATTCCAACTGACGAACTGCCTTATTTTCCTCAAATAATCTTTAAATTATTACAACGAACATATTTTCAATTCATTTGATTCAATAGCAAATAAATAGGATATTTACCGGACTTGGAAGTTGGCTGATAACATCAGAAGTTGTCATAAAATATGGACTATCAAAATCAAAGTAAGTAGTAAATTTGCGAAATGATTCTGAAGAGTTATCAGGCGTTTTAGGCGAAATTGTACAAGAATCAGACTGCGTTAAAGTGAACTGCCGTACAGGCCACGATAAAACATAAATATCAAACGAAATTCCGATTAAATCCATTGCTAAAATTGAAATAATTTTGGTAAGGGTTTAAATTTCAATTTGAATATTTTTGAAAACAATATAATTTTTTTGTTCATATTTATAATTTACAATTCAGTTTAATGAAAGAGATATGTAGAGAATGGTCCTATCTTTATTCATATACCATTGTTTTTTTGAATTTCTAAAACTGTTCTTTCTCTTCATAATCAGATTAAGGAACTGCGTTTTTCATTTTACATAATGAAATTCAAAATTATTACATAATTTCGGCAACAGTGAAAGAAAAAAGTGTTAAAAGTGTTAGTGTTATGATCGAGTCCTATCAAAAAGAAAAAAGTTTCAAACTCACCTGTAAAATTCTTCTTCGAAATATTAGAACACTGTTGCAATAGTTGCATAACACAGGATGGTAAATGATCGACAGGAAACGTATACATATCCATGTTAGAAAAACGCATTGCACAAGAGAAATTCAAGAATAATGGTACGGCAGAATTATCGGTTAAATGAAATTCTTCACTATCGGATAATTCGGATACAGTAACTGATTGGAAGCTATTGCTTGACCAGCTGCTTCTTGAACCATCTGAGTATAAAGCACAATAAAAATTTCATCAGTGAAATCTTTTTATTTCATAAAAATTTAATGCGAAAGCATTTCCTCTAAATTCTCAAACTCCCTTACCGTCCTTTTCTTTCGCATCTTCTTCATCTTCATTATAGCAAATTTCCAAATCTTCCAAATAGGATGAACTAACGCTATTCAAATTTTTCGTTTCAGGCAAATTTATCGTTAAATTCTGAAAAAAAAAATAATAATGTCAAGGAGTTAATACTCCTAGATTAAACTATTATCATATCCTTCCACGATCAATTGTTTGACAAATCTAATTCCATTGCTAATAGTTTTCAAATGCAAAATATGACTTCACCACTTCCAATCTGCCAAAACTATCAGAACATACATTTAACAGTAAATAACAGTTTTGAAATTCACTTTTAAATATTTTGATTTTTCCAATTCAGTTTAAATCCTTGAATACGATCACAACTCTATTCATAATCTCTTTGAACGGAATTCTAGCATAACAGCAACCTCTGTTCTTTTAAATGATAAATATAATTATTGCTAATAACTATAATTACTGAATACCATCAAGCATCATTTTTCATCACGGATAAATCTTACAATAGAAACAATTGATGTATTATACAGAAAACAGATAGAAAGGACGCATTTCACAAAATCTGAAAAAAAAATCACCTTATTTGTTGCATTATCCTGAACAAAATAGAAGTAGCTTGGAAAATTGGGAATTCTCCTGAAAAAAAGAAATCAATCGAAAAACAGCAAAAAATAGCAAAACTATAATCTTTATGAACAAAAGTATTCGGACTCAATTTTCAGTAACCTATGATATAGAAATGTTGAAATGATTCAAACTTGCAAATACATATTTTACCAATGAGCTACCCAAAACAAATCACTCCTTTTTTGTCTGCATTTCCAGTGGATAGCAATTTACCTCGCGAAAATGTGCGAACTTATAGCCACATAACCAAACTCCCAACCAGAAAGAGGAATAATTAACCATGTGACTCATTTCGGACAAAGCCCTCACTGTCTACACTTAGATATTTCATTTAAACGCCCTGCCTGGATTATTAGTTACATCTGTAATATAAAATAAATGAACTGAAACCGGAAATTCTGTGAAAGAAGCTCGTCAAATGCAAATCGAAAATCTTCTTGTTCTTCCTCACAGGACTTTCCACTTCCATCGTTTAACCTGAAAATAATAGACTGCAAAATCAGTTATGTGGAATGAAATAAAAATTAATGACACATGTGACAACATGGCATACTCTTAGCTCGAAATTTACAGTTTTTGATTTGGAATGGAATGCAAATTTAGAACTTATTAGCCAGTTATTTACCGATATATGATATCATCTTTGAAGAAATCATTGCTTCTTGTCTCATCATCCGCATCCTCTGCCAAATCTCCTATCTAAAATGCATCAAATTAGATATTAATTATAGTTTACTTCAACTTGATGAGATTTCGCTATGTGTAAGGATTTAATAATCACGAATGAAAATGTGCATGGATGAAATAGTTTCATTTATAAAAATCATATAATCCATTTACGATTTGCATAGTGTTGTATATCCTGGAGAATAGTGATGCAAATGTTTCAAAATTAAAAAAATGCGAGTGTAACTGGAAACGAACACTCATGGGTTTTTTCTTTGAGCAAGCAGTGCTTGGTGCCATTAAAATGCTCCCCGCGGTTTCAATTATTGTTTATAAGTCAGTGATATAAACGATCTGTTTTAAACTTTAAAAATCCTATATTCTAGTTCGAAATATATATCAGCTACACTGTGGAACTAATACAAACCTGTTTACGTATATTTGCAACATGTGAGCATAGGAAACGGACACATTCATCGATACCTTGAACTTCGATATCCAATTGCTCGCAACGATCCTCTAACACTTCCACCAAATCTTCATACGGTATATGAATACCTAGCAGTTAAAGTTCAATCATAAAACCGAAAAAAAGAGTATTTAAGCATTTGCTTCTTTCTCAATTTTTGATTGTAGGAGTAAATCACGATTTTAAAAAGTGAACAAAAATATATATAAGTCACACGTGTATAAATAACAATTGCTATTTTCATTCAAATAACATTTAAAGATGGGTAAACAAATGTGTGAAGATTGCGTCATATTGGGCTTCTTCTTTGAGCACGCATAGAAGTTACCCAATATGACGCAATCTTTTTTTTTCCTTCCAGCATTCCTTTCAAAGGATGGAGGTAATATTAGGATATCGAAGTTCTTCGATTACAAGATAATAGAAATAAAATACCTTGCAATAAACATTGATATACTGCTCCAATAAGTGCTCGAGAAAATAGTTGGTCCTCGATCGCTTCACAATAAGATTGTAAGTCGAAAGACGTATGAACACGATTTTCAGCTGGACTTATCCGAGAAGTTGACAACCAATGTAACTCCAATTCATTTTTTATCATTCCTGAATTTTTGCTTATATAGTCAATCTTATATAAAGTCATTTCGAATTCACATAACCTTGCGTAAAAATATTACACCTTGCAACCATTAACATAAGTTATTTATTTTATGGCACTAAATCCCGTATGTGCCCAATAAAAATTAAAATTTGAACATCAGCTTAAGCTAAGACTTACGTCAAATAGATAGAATTAAAATTGTCATAGATATTTATCGGTTTATTAAAAACATTTTTTTGTATGAACAATTTTCAACTGGAAAAAATGTTGAAAGATGTTCTTCTCATACTTTCTCCTATTTGTCAATCTTCCTCCGATGCTATTGAGTATTCCAGGGGATGATTACTTGCCATGAAACATTTAAAATCAATTATAAATGTAACTGGTTAATCAATCATTTGGTTAACTGAGGACGTTTTTTCTAACTCGTAATATTGCTTTTGAGCAATCAAAATAAAACAGACAAATTCCTCTCCGTAAAATGCAAACTTCTAAACGTGACAATATTGCCAAGTAATTTTATTGGTATATAGTTCCTAAATGTGTATGCCGTTCATTAGTCATTGTTCCAATATCATTCTTTTACAATCATTGCCTATTATCTATGAAATTGTATATGATATACCTTTCTACATAGAACGATATTGCACGTCTACCTACCATAGTTATGCACATTTTTCTTTTTCTACTTGTTACAATTATTCCAAAAGTCGGATATCATTTTATGCTCCATTTTGAAATTTTATTTTTAAAAGACTAACTGGGCTTAGCATTTAACGAGCGATGGGATTCAGCTCTCATGTCAATTGAATAAATGCGATCTCAGTAGTAATTTCATATTATGTTCCTACATCTCTTTGAAATAAAATTCCTCACACTGATGTAAGCCATAAAAAAACACATACATTTGTATATATCGTGCATATGTGTATAAATAAAATTGTTCACACATTACTATTACACGTGTCAAATTTAACTAATTGTTTGAACCATCATGACAATATCACTTTTTGTGCGATGCACAAAAAATGATATTGTCATGATAAGGAAAAGTTAAAACATTTTTATATTATATTGTTAAAGCTTAATTTTCAATAGATAAAATTACTTGTACAATTTTCAGTTTTCCGTATTGACTTCTCAGACGTTAACTTTTATAAAGTCCTGCGACAAACTATATATACTTTTGATGAAGTTCAACAATACTACTCTTTCTCTAAATTAAAATATTAGGAATAACATGTAACAAAGCTTCCAATGTATTTTGAATCTACATCAAAAAATTATGACATCAAACTAACATGGCTGCAATCAACGCTACACCAAAATAATCATAAGGTTTTGCTAATCATGATCACTTAAACTACCTTCTTATTGATCTATTGATTCTTAGAATTCAAGACTATGTTCATTTTAGATATACATTTCTGAAACGCCATTTGTCCAAAAATTGGATTTCATTTGTATATTATGCTATTAAAACTTAATTTTCAGTAGATAAAATTACTTGTGCAATTTTCAGTTTTCCGTATCTGTCGATTCAAATGCGCCAATGTTGAAGTTGGACTTTTAGTACGATGATCTGATACATATGTCTCACATCGCCGTGGTTCATTTCGAGCCAAATGATGAGCTATCCATGGCTCATCACAATGGAAAATAAGAAGCGGTAGTGTTGGTACCACAAAAGAGGTTGCCATTAAAATATGCTGCGGATTTGTTAACACAGCAATGATAACAACACGCCATGGTGAAAGTCGCGAGACGTAAACACGTGTGGGGCAAAAGCTTCCATCATCCATACTATTTGATTTTTGATGGTCCTTAATGGGAAGCTTTCTCAGGACAGACTGACCGATACCACTCGTAATTTCCAACCAGAAATTCGGATCTCGTACTTCTATTGTAACATTATTTGCTTTGACTAGTTCACAATGCAAATTTTCGAGAAGAATTCGTAAACGAATATTACTCGGTGGATCATCGTTTTCTGCAAAATATATGAGTTCTAAAATGCTGCTTTATATCCCCTTAACTCAGTTGGAATAAATATTAAATGGATTTCAAAATGAAAACAGCTCAATTCATTCAATCATAATCATATACAGCATATCTCTCGCTCATTTTTGTGTAATTTCCTGTAAAACAACTGAAGAAAGTAGTCAACAATTGTGCACACATTTTTTAACACATATTTTTGATGAATATTAATTTATTGAAACTCTGATTTATGTAGATTAAAAAGGTAATTAACTAACGATAACTTAGCGTAGGTAATAATAAAAGTTCTCGTTCTGTAGCATTCTTCAGCAATGATCGTAAGCAGAAACAATTATGCATAATTTCCACATTTTTCGTGAGATGTTCGCATTTCAAAAATTCCCAGCTATCTTCGCAATTGGCAAGTGTAAAATGTGAGCACGAATAATGCTGAGCACATAAAGACATCACTTGATCCAATGTTGATAACGTACAAATAATATCTTCATCTGTAGCTCGGATCTATAATTTCGAAAATTTTTCTTCTCATTCGCAAAATTTCATCTATTATAATTGAAGACCTTCATTTAAAACAGATTTATTAATTATACTAAATCGTTTTTAACCAGAACTTAATAGATAATATGAATTTCGAGCAAATTCTGGTAAAACTGATTAAGTTGTTATCTGGATCCTATGTTATCAATCAATAATAAGTAGTCTTATTGAAGAGAAGTACTGTCGGCATTATATGTTTCTTGAAAATATAGGACACTCTAACCTATGCGCTTACGTAACCCACGTTAATCCTATGTTAATGAATGATAATACTACAAAATGAAATATTCTTTATGTTATGTGTATATATATATATATATAAAAATTCATTTGGCATAAATTTGAAAAATTCAAACTTATAATTCAAATGATTAAAATCTCTAGGACCATTAGTGATTACAGCGAGAAGTACGAGCTCAGTTTCTATTCGTCAATCGGATCAATGATGGACTCCTCTTCATTGATCGAGCCACATCAATTATCAATAAAAATGTGCTGAATCCAAAAGATGTAGTGCCAAAATTCTGTGCGCTTTCAAAGGCAAGCTTCGAACTTTCTAATAACTACTACGACATTTTATGGAAATTGCAATTTGTGATTATGTGAATTTTGAAAAATTTTTAACTCCTCTTTTCAAAAATATACTTTGAATGCATCTCTTGATTTTTAATTCCTCTCTTCAAGAATAGAGTTTAAATCCATCTCTTCCATGATATCGAGTATTTCAAAATTGATATCAATGCAGGATGGATATATTTCCTTTGTTTGTATGTTTCGTTTTTTCAAACCTACTCTCTCGATTGAGGTATTCTCGATTTTACGTCACTAAATTTTCAACTAATATTTTCCGTCTCAAATCATCATTTTCCAAAAGGTTTTCCAATGCTTTTAATTTGTATGATATGAAGTAAAGGTTTTCCAGAAATTTACAAGACAACTGACGTTCTGTTCCTTTTGATAACACTTTATTTTTTGCTTTGATTTCTTTCTTTAATTCAAAGATTTTTAGCTGCTATCTGTTTCTTAAATGACGTCCCGAGAAATTGTTCTAAATATTGAAAAAAACTACAAAAGAAAAATTATTATTACAAAAGCAGTTCGAGGTTTGAAATACTTCCAACTTGTTTCATACTGAGATACATTATTACATTGCTACTGTTATATTAAGCAGCATTCTAACGTGCATTTCTCATGTTGTGTTTCTTTTCATAATACTTTATTTTTTTGCTGTTAATTTCGAATTTGTTCTGGATAAAGGAAATATTATTTGATAAAAAGCAAATCTAAACTATTTATTTATTTTTTGGAAATGGGTCGGAAACTAGCGAAGGCAATTCCCGAATCAACAACACCGAAAACTTCACAAATGTAATATGCGGTGACAGTTGAAGAGGAATTCATCAAGAAGATTAAGAAAGTAATGATCCATCGTAAGGAATTGATAGTGAATAACTGAGAGCAATCAAAGCTGATCCCTTAAAAAGTGACAGCATATAAAGCGATATTATTCATGTTACGGCTGTTTCGTATTTGAAGCAAATTGGAGAGGTAAAAAAAATTAGTAAATGGGTGTTACATTAGCTGACTAGTAATCAAAACCGCTGTTCTGAAGATTCCCTTTTCTATTCTGCGTAACAACTTATTTCCGTATCAAATGATGGTGTGTAATAAAAAACGGATTGTTTGCGATAACTGACTAAGACGTCTCAGTAATTGGATGAAGCTCCAAAACATTTCCCATGGGGATTCATCAGTGCAGATTTCCGAAGCATGATTTCAAATTTCATACTCATTTAAACTAATTTAAGCTCTAATTTCAATTAAGAATTAAATTAACCAGCCGAACTCGATTAATATTGTACAATGAAGGCAATTATTACGATGGAAATCAAGAAAGACCTCTAATGAGTGCAAAAAAAAAAAAATTCTCAAAGTTGAAGTATTGATAGAGAACAGGCAGGTAAGCGAAGGGATAAGAATCTCACTGACTTGAAACGTTTAGTGAAGATCCTACCCTTCACTTTCGTGACCGTCCAAATTAACTTGTACTCCAGTACAACCGGTCGAAATTTGAATGCTCAGAACAGTTTTACGGAATCGCTAATATCTCTTCCGTTGCAAGCTTTGAAAAATTATCGATTAAGCAGTTTCATTTTCACTTTAAAAAATAGCAGTGGTGGCCGGATCTAATTTTTATAGAATGGAATAGTGAAGATATCCAAGCAGTAGTCTCCAGTATACTTCTATGGAAAAAGTGATGGATTTAAAATATACAATTAAATAAGATGATGTCAATCGAAGGGCAGATCTGGCAGCATCAAAAACGCATTAGCCCTGCCTAAGACCTAACCTCCGACTGACATAAACTTGTCTGTAATGGAACCGAAGAAAGAAGACGGTAAACGCCAACACAAGGAAAGATGTTCACTTCGTATGAATGTGAAATAAAAATCAGCTTCAGCTAGCTACCTACACTTATTAGCACTGTTAGCAGATAACAAAAAGATAACACAGAGAATAGCTTATCAGTAATGTTCCTTCCATTCGTACAGTACACATTTTAAAGTAAGAAACGGTAAATCCTGAAGAAGTTAACAGCTGAGAAGAAAAGGAAGGAATAAAAGAAGAAAATGAATAGATTTGAGAAGAGGTCTTAAACCGACATTAGATTGTCAGATAATGTGAAGAAAAAAAACATTTTTTCGGGCTTTGAAATCAGACAAGCTGTCTCTGCTCGATGATGGAATTATGATATCAGCAAACAGAGGAATGTCATTCAACGATAAGATTGGAAGGAATGTTTTCTAAACATATTTCCAATGTTTAACGTTAAGGGACAAAATAAAAATAACTGCAATAATTCAACTTTAAAGTACAGCACCGCCACAAAGAAAAAGTATACTTAACTCACTTAACATGAAAAGTTAGTTTTCTCATTTTTCTTTTGGATAACTAATCTCAATATTTCATAGTTACTTGGAATAAAGGAAGTTATGTAGATCATAAAATATATACTTCTAAAGTCAGCCAGTTCACTTTCTATACATAAAGCAGTGCAAATATAACAGTTACAGCTCACGGTGGACCAAAAAACAAATAAGTAACTTCACAATTAAATCATATAAAGAAGCATATATGCATACATTTTTCTCACAACAGAACGATTCGCTTTTGACTAAACAAAAGTTTTTTGAATGTTTGGAATATTTCTCGCCGGAACTAATGGCGAACTGTTTATTTGAGAGATTTTTTTGTATATATTTCATTCGGAAGAGTTCTGCATGGACAAAAATAATATTTCAAGGTTTTTAGGTCGTTATTTTAGAATGAAAATGTTGAATAAATAATATATTTATATATACAAAGTTGTTTAAGATAATATTTGAAATACTTACTTGCTGCTGAATAATTCCACTTCGTGTAACATATTGCTGATCAATGACGGCAAGCGGTTCTGACCACATTTCCGTCATTAACTGTAAATCGAGATCACTTTTCAATGTGGAATTCTCACCTGGAACTGATTTCTTCGCTTCAGCCCCACGTAATTTAACGATTCTGCAAAGTCTAACACGCGAAATTAAATGACTTTAGACTTTAAACTTTAGAACAAACTTCGCCAATCAAATTTAGGTTATCAAAACCAGTTTCTTACTCAAGCTTCTAAGATATACTGCTACAACATTTCGGTCATCCATTACACTGAGTCATGGCGATGAAACTACTATATGCCATTTAGAATGAACGATTGGTTGGTTTTTGTTACCAGATATATTCCCAGCCAGTATGAAAGCTTCAAAAAAGTACCACTGCCAGTCCACACAATGACTAATTGTTTACATCAGATTTTATAGATCACTTTAAAATTGATAAAAAATTACTTTGATAAAGGTGACACTTTTCCTAAATGTTCTTTCATAATTCGCATTGGTCGAATAGCTGTTGGTGGAAAGATGATATACTGAAGCAAAGCTGACCCACAGTGAAGTTGTTGTTCCATGCCATCGACATGTTTGACAAGATTAATTATCCCATTATCGCCATATACTATATGAAATCCTTCATTCAGACGTCTCCTAAATTTTCAACACTTTGCATGTTATCAAAACATTTATCAGCAGCGCAGTAGTTAACTCAGTTCACCGTTCAGTTAAACCCTATCGTAATAGATTTCCTTCTTTTCACAGCTTTTAATTTAACTCCTGTAACAACTAATCCTCATTTTTAGCTTCAGAAAGGATAGAAAAATTGCTCACTGCAGAATAGTATGAAGAATATAATCCGCGTAAGTGCAGTTCACAATTGATGATAGCGGAAATGCCTTCTTCAAATACCAAATATAACGTCTAAAAAACTTTTTGAATTTTTGAAAAAATCTGGAAAAAAATCAAAAAACCGAATGCTCATTCGCAAAATTTTCCGACATATTGAAAATATAATTTTTGCACGAAAACGTGAACTTGATAAACAAACACCATCCAGAACAATGTGATCAATCTCAAGAGTGAAAATTCTATCAAAATCCACCCCTCGATTAGATTTGAGGACAATGATGTCATCTCATTCGATAAGATAACCGTGGCAATGTTATATATCTACGGAGAAATTTTAAACTTTAGAATTTTTAAAATTTAGTTTTTCAAAACTAGATAAGCATCAGTCATGACTACTTTGTTTTTTCTAGCACCATCGTCAATATGAAACCGAAAAAAGTTACCTGCAACAAAAATATTTGGCAAGTGAATTGTGTAATATCAAGTCACGATTTGTTCCATCGGTTTTTTCCAATCGTATAATTCGATTTAATGTAAGCGGAATTTTCTTGTAGCGTGCAAGCATAATTTCCAATGGACGATTAATAATAGTCAGTGCCGGCAATTGCTAGAAGTAATAAAATGTGACCAACCTCTTACACATTATGGTTATCTTCAAGATGAATATTTACCATTGTTTCGGCAACTGTAGTACAGTCGTCTCCAACATCAGCAAACTCGAGCATTTTAGTGAAAAAACAACTTTGTTCAATAGATAATGAACTGAATTTTTCCCGAAATTCTCTGATCACCTGGAATTAGCAGATTTCCGAATTGTGATGTAATTTTATCAAATAGTGCCAACACATCTTGTTTAAAAAGGCAAGCAGAAGTGGACTATAGAGGAATTGAAAAAATACCTCACAAAAATTAATAAGTCAATTTAAACAGCGCGTTTTCTACTGATAATACTACAGTATTTCTTTAAAAAAAGTTGATATCACAAAAAATCTATGAGACATTGATGTAAGAACAATTGGCTCAATTAATCCAGCAATCAGGCAGCTGAAATCTATTTCGCCTTTTATAATGAAATCCTCTTCTTGATGCTATCACCGTTATGAATAACAATATCATTCTTCGAAAATATTAAAAAATGGAAATTTGTTGTTACTTCATCTCTGAACGCAACCGTAAGACCATCGAGGAATGCTAGTTTGATTACGGCTAATTGAGTCTCCAAACTTAATTTGACAATATAAAATGATTTCGGAATATCATCACCATCATTACTGAAAGTGAAAAAGAAAGATCATGAAAATATTTCAAGTTTTTTATAGAAAATACATGAAATTGAAGAAGTTAAAAGAGGTTAAAAGGGAGAAGTTAAAACAGAACAAAAAGAGTATAAATGGAATTATAAGTAAAAGATAAAAAATACAGTCATTATCTACATAGTTTATTACTAACTGATTATGCAGAAGAGTGCCATCAATGTAGTATTTTTGCAAGTCGGACGTACATATATTAAAAATCCTTGAACGTATTTGGAAATTAAAAGTGAAAAGTCAGGCCTAAAGAGATCTGCAGCTCAATTATCAAGCCAGTTGGCTTAGCTAATCTGATTTTACTAGCAACATAAATAGTGAAAAAATTTTAATGATAAAAGATCAAAAAACAAACCCTTCAACAAACTTTACATAAGTCTGTCCATGAACAAGTGAAAATGTTGTCATTTGCGCGAGCATATCATAGAGTATAGTTAATGCAAGTTGCGATGTAACTTTTACATTTGGCTCTTCGAAAAGGAATAACCGTGGAGGTAAAGGATGATCATGCGTAAGAATTACACGAAAAGTGTATACCTGTGACCAACTTTGCCTGAAAAAATTAAAATTGTAAAAAATTATGGAAGAATACAAAAATTTGGTTGCCTTGAACAGACGTCGGAGTTTCTACAGAGCAAAATTATTTGGCGAGAGTCATATTTACTAATTTCTTTAGTTCGAGTCCTATTCAATCAATTACGTGATTCAAACTTTTCATTCAATTGGAATCAACATTAATTACACAGCAACTTCGCTTGAGTCTCATTCTAAGCGTTTTTATTTATTAATTATTTCAAAGCTGGAAGAATTACGTTTTTTTCGTTATATAAAAAATTGACAAACATATAAATATTGTTTCATCATATCATCATAAAACGGATCCATACTACTGCCTGTTTCATTATTTGTTTCAAATTCGTCTAATTTGATTTTATCAAAAAATATTGACTACTCCAAATACTATATTATTACCAATGTTTCTCTTCAAATTCACTTATAATCCGCCAAAACTCGATGAAATTTGCCGCGGTAACATTTTGTAGGCACAAAGTTTCCAATTCTCTGCAAAGGAAATAAATCTAAATCGAAAAATCAGTAAATACGCTGATGTTGGGATACAACTATATAAGTATGAAGAGTGAAAAAATGCCGAAGTCTGTAGTACATCACATGCTTCCGTCCATCATATTTTAGGAAACACGATGAATTTAACAGGGCAATTTTTGGAGAAGTTCCGCAGATTTAGAGAGTTAAGTATTATCAAATTTATCAAGAATGTCGCTTGTTTAGGATAATTCACCTGGTACTTATTGCCAGTACGGCTTTGTTTTCTTTGATAACATAGCGGAAGAGCGACTTTTCTTTTAATACTTCGGGCGGAAGACGAAAAAGATCCGGGAAGGAGTTGAATGAATGAACGTGAATTAACATACGATCCTTTTCAAGCAATCTACAATAGCAATAATTAAAAATATTAAAAGTAAATGTATAGGTGAGTAAATAATATTTATCCTTAATATTCCGGTGATAAAATTTTTATATTAATTAACAGCTTGCTCTAAATCAAGATATGTTTCAGGAAAAGCAAAATTAACTGACTCCAAAATGGTATGCCGATATGCATCAGAAAAAGTCTGCTTTGTTACATTTATGGAACAACGATCGGATAACAGATCTCGTACCACGCCGTACTGTGCTTCACATATCACCGTTATTTTCAACTTTGCTCTATAATATTCAACTAATTACCCTATACGATCTTTGGGAAATAGTTATTCAGTTTAAAACTCCCGAATTGAGACTAAAATAACTTGAACGCTAATAATATTTATCATGAGTAATCGAAAAATCTAATACGACAATTTGAAAAATGACAAAATTAAAATAGACCTTTTTGCACGATCTTCATAAAGAGCATAAATTTTATAACCAATTGTCACTTGTGGTTTCCAGGGTAGACTAAGTTCCACCAATATCGACCGATCTTCCCCTTTCTTTAATACTTTCAAATCACGCAATATAAAACCCTCATAAAGCCGTAAACGTAAGAAATACTCCAAACATGATTCATATTCCATACTGTAATGCACTCGACGAACAACACCACTGAAATAAGATTTTCAAAGATTTTCAAAGAAAATTTTTTGAGAGACAAACATAAAAAATACACATTCATTAGAAATTGAAAAAATTTACAAAATCCTGACTGAAATTTCAAAAAATATATTTTTAAAAAAATGAAATGATGAAGGTCAGAGAAAACACATACCATGTGTATGGTTCAACGAACTCTGGATTAATCTGATGAATTAGATCTTTGATATAATCATTTGCTGCATCCAACAGCTGAAGATTTTTGCATAAAAATGGTTGATTTTCAATCAGATTAAGAACATCCTGAAAAAAGAAGAGAATATTGTTCTTTCCTGCACAATAAATATTTTAATAATAACATGAAAACGTTTACATATAAACTCTTTTAATTTCAGCTAAACTCTTTTAATTTCGGAACTCACATCCGCCGTGATTTGATGTTCGTCTGGTATGTAGACACCTGATGTCCCCCTCGCAAGGAATGTAAAAAATCCGGGTGATGAAAAATGTCCAAACACAGCGTCTGTATTGCAGTCTTTCTGAATCTAAACAAGGGTAGGGGATAAAGTATAAAATTCACATCTAATAGAAAATAAGTGAATAAATACAGATCACTTCCCAAACAATTTTTATCTTTGTTTCAGTCACGAATCATCACTACAAGTACAAAAACTATTTTTTTTGAATTTCATATACTAAATCATACTTATCACAACGTAAATAACGCTTACGCGCCCAAAATCTAGCAACCTTTATCAAACATTCATGTGAACTGGTAAACTTAAATTAGAAAATGAACTCAGTAAGAGTGATTTTACATTCGTTATGAAATGTTTATTAAAAAAATTCATATTACCTGTATAAATGAACAAGCGATAGAGTAATTTCGTAATTGAATCATCAATTTTTGTAAAGCGTGTATATCCGTCACATTACACACCGCATCCGTAATCAGTACTATGTCTGCAGAAATTTGTAAAAGGAGCGTACAGATGAATGACAAATTAGGAATTGTAAGTTTGAAATTATGATATTTGAGTAGCATGTAATGCATTTCATTCGTGTGGAAATCGAGAAAAAACTGGATGAAACGATTTGTGATGTTAAGCTTTTTGAAAACCTTTCGAAAATGAATTACGCAGAACTCTTTTGTTATGCGAAGCTTTTTCCTTCTATGAAATTAAACAAGAGTAAGGATTCATGAAGCTTTCTTTCATAACTGCAAGCATTATTGGTTATGCAGGCAAATACTACTATTATTTACGTCTTACTGGGTTGCGAAGTGTCTGATAGTAATTGCAAACCAATGAGACCAACTCGCAGCATGAACATTAATGACCATTCTGAATTAATGAATCCTTCATCAGCAGGACCAGGTCGAAAAGTCATTCTATAAAGACAAGCACATGACATATGCAAACATATGCATAATTCGATCAGAACAATGCCTAAGGAAAATTTGGAAGAATTTTTAAAATACTAATCTCTCAGATATTTTTAATAATGAACTTTCAAAAACATAAAACTCAACAATATTTTTATTGAAAAAGAAGCGGGAAACCAACTGTGCAGTCAATATCGAATCCCTGAATCCATCCATTGCGTGGGACTGTTGGCGAAAAAAATTTTCCGGTAGAAGATCTCCAGCTCTCTGCAATTATTCATGCATTGTAGATTGCTCAAGTGTAATTCACTGCACTATGTTTATTGATAAGTGAAATTCCCGAAATTCCCGATTTCTATAATATTCTATACTTCGTTTCTTGAGATATTTTTCCAAACTTGAGGGTTTCAAGGAAAAAGGAGATAACATTTTCCATAATTTTCTTTAATATACTTTCAAATAAATTAAATTTTGCGTAAAAGTTTAATTTTTAAAGAGGTAAAAGATTATAGAAAGATGCTGCAATTAAGTAAGTACTTTACGATAAATGAAAGTGTGGTGCGTGAGAGAATAAAAAAAAATTAGATTTTGCACAAATTTTTCAATTTTTTGTGAGAACAAGGAAAAGATTATCCAGGTGACATTGAAATATATAGGAGTTTGTCATCATTACCTGCCGCAACTTCTTTCGTTCTTGATTCCATCTCCTCAAATGAGGCTGCATCGTCCAACACAGTCTATTAGAGAACAATGAAAACCGTTCTTGAACATAATGCAGAATAGAACCGATGTTATTCTTTGTAAGTAAACAACCTTGTAGAATAACCTACAAATACTAATAACTTTTAACAGCAGCTAATTAATTTTGAAAAAATGGGATTACAAAATGTCACTGACAAATGAAGTTTTTCACTCCTAATTATTTATTATCTACCGAGAGATTATTATATATTGTCTTTTTATCCTATTTCTTTATCCATATTCATATTTTATTTGATTTTGACAATTTTCTTGCACCAGTATAAAACAATAAAGAGAAGCTAGCAATGCTTGTAATAATTTTTTAATAAAGGATTAATTCTTTTACAATTGAAGTCATTCTTTAGTTTAGGACGTGACATATAAGTTCCGAAATCACATTCTGAAGCAACTTCAAGAGTTATGCAAGTGTTATTTCCTGCAACTACGACATCCTTTCAATCAAAAATTTTCCATTTCCTTTTGCATATTTTTCTTTGAACTTCGAAAAAATTTTCTAAATACTAACTCTGTCTTCATCAAAAGCAATAAATGAACTGTAGAAACAAATTGTAATAAATATTTCGGGCGAGAATTTGTTCGCTGGCAGAAAATTTCCTTCCACAAGAAGTCCTTCTAGGCATTGTCGTAGTCGAGTGATAATTTTTGAATGTGGCACACAACTCGCTGTCCCATCCTAGAAAATAATTGAATAAATAATATATATGGGTAGAAAACGAAATGGATTGAATTAGATTGAACTGAAAAATGTTAGTTTTCTTTTTCTTGTTTTTTCTTAACTTTCTCAATCGCATCGGAGAAATAGGTATGATTAACTCATTATGGATACAATCAACAAAGTTCGAAGAATGCTAAAATTCAAAAAAACCGTATAAAACGCTGCAAATAAGTAATGACTGTAATCAGTTCGGAATATGCTGAAAAGATTGCGTTTAGTGTAGTTTAATAGTATATTGCTAGATTAAGTTCTTAATTCGATTCTAAGAATTGACCAAAAATTTTTATCTTACATCTTCTACGAAAAAGAAAACGAACCACAATAAAAGTAGAAGGACTGATATCAATGACAAAAACAAAACGATAACTTTTGACAACATATGATATCAGTGTATTACTTGTTACCAGCAGCTGCTCATTATCATGCACTTCATTGCCATCTCGGGCACTGATTTTTACAACCTTTATTTCATTCACGTCCTTAAAAGATTTGCTGACCTCATCATGTAATGATCCATTTAATTCCATAAATAGTAATAATTGAATCTACCATCAATTTTCTCGGACAATGAACGGAAGCGACTTGATTTAATCGGCTATGATTAATCTCATTAACCTTCAAATTTTCAAAAGAAAGGAAAGAAAACTGCTATGCGATAATGATTCTTTATTTATTGTGAGGTAATTCACCCTGAGAAACGATTAGGATGACAGAGTACAAAAAAAAATCGTTTCTCAATATAAATTACCGCACAATAAAATAAGGAATCGTTATCACATAGCAGTACAAATACTTATGCTTTCGCTTTTTGAGAGAATCAAAAGCAAAAAACAAAAAATGAAGGAATTAAAAGAAGAGTAAATCGTATTTGTTGTGATGGTCTTACGTTAAATGGTTGAGCTGAAAACGTAAGCACCGTTTGAAGTTTTAAATAGAAAATACTTGGAAATCAACAGTAATGCATTTGAAAATATTCATGAAGTAATACTTTGTTTGTTGTTTCGATTGCAACTGTGCTGTTAACATGCTTCAAATACCACGATGTTAGAGTATATTTGCCAGTTTTCGAACTGTCCGATATCAATACTATCACATGACTTGCTTCTCGCACAGCACAATCGTTACCAGCCGAATGATTTTCACATTCACTTAATTCATCTTCCTTTTCATTATAGTGGTCGCTGTTAGTATTTTCCATACATGAGAGGTTTTACACCCGCAACCTAAATAAGAAAAAATTCATAAGCTTTGGATTTCTGAATTTGTCCATTGGACTAATATTTTAAACAAAAAAGACTTTAAAAGATTTGACCTAGGATTATTAAAAGTATTACAAAAGCTGGTTTCAGAAATTACGAAATTTGTAACTTTTTGAATTTCAAATTGCTAAAGGTCAGCCAAATAAAAAATAAGGAGTAACAAAGCTTGAACTTTTACAAGTTATTTAAGATGGAAAGAAAAACAGCTAAAATCTTTTTTGTTTCAACGAATTGATGCCAATATATGTTTGTTTGGAGGAATTATTTGTAAACGGTCCATATAAAAATTATGCAAATATACTCAGACTGCTTTATTCTTGTAAAAATCCACCCTTTAACAATTTGTAAACTGCGTTAAATATAAATAACAGCAATTTGACGTTTTATTAAAACTATTTACTATCTCTAAACATTTAATAAAATTGAGCGAAAGCAAAAAAAATATGGATGTTCCATAACTATTAAAATTATTTACTATCTCATTACTTTTGAAAAAAATTAATAATATTACATTCCATACAGCAGAACAAGCAAAATGAATAAATCAATTCCTACTTATCCAACGATGGAGCGGAGCGTCTGTTAAAATAAATCAATATTTGTATACTTCAGCACACTGAACAGAATTATCGAACAGCGTATCATCCCATCTTACAGTATTGCTTTCTTCTGTTTAATTTTTCCCTTATATCAACTAATCTTCGTTATTTCGAAGTACTTTCTTTATTCTGGAACGAACTGGCAATGGACAACTTTCCCACTCAAAATTTAAATTTCGAAAAATCCCCCATTTTTACCCAGTCTCTCCCCAGAGAGCCGAGAAGTACTTCACAAGTAAAAAAAGATGGCCCATGAAAGTTTTCAAAGAGCGAAATATAAACTACTTGTCTCTTCGAACGAAATTCTTTCCGGATTCTTTGATTTAAAAGATTTTCGACAAATTACATTTTAGAATTGAGGAAATGAAGTGATGAAGAAATATTTAGTTTAATGCGCATACTCAATTTAGCCTGGTAGATTAAGTCTATGTGTATACTCATAAATAGATCTTTTTTGGATATTAGAGTTATCCCAAGTCACTTATTCCCAAAGTTCAATTTAAATCCACGGACCTAAGCATTTCCAGATCTTTATTTGACATTTAATTATTTTAGCTGTTAATCACCGTTAGCTTTTTTCTTCAATTCCAATTTCGAATTCAATCATTTAATTATAATTTGTGTTCCCTTCAAACTGTGCTGTAAATAAAATCGTGTTGAGAGAAATTCAGTGTACTTTCACAATGATTACATAGACATTATAATTAATCATTTAATTTGGCATTAGATCGTTATACCCCGTAACCTCGTTCACGTTCTTTCTTCATAAAGAATTAATTGTATTTGTACAAGTGAAGTTCTGTACAGAAATTTTCGAAATTTTTGAAATTATCTCATTGTTACTTTCAGATAAATTTCTGTTAAAAAAGTTGATCAAAATGTGCACGTTACCGTTACATATTGGCAATTCGCAAGTTAATTTTACAAAGCGCTTATTTTCAATCAGTCGATTTGATGATGTAATTGATGATCGTAGTTCAACTGCTGCTGCTATTGCTACTGCAACCCCTCCTACAACAAAACAGGAATTTAAGCGAATATTAACAGTGAATATTGGGTGTGCTTTCATTGATCAGACTGTACAAATAAAAGAATATACTGTGAATTATAACTTATTAACAATTAAAATTGATAATGGAATTGAGCTGAGAATTAAATATGATACATCGGAAGAGCTGTATGAAAAATATGAAATTGAATGGATGGGCGTCAAAAGTTATCATTACATGAAAGATGTAATACAAACGGATGAAATCGGCCAGTGGTATGGTGGACCTCAGATGGCCCAGCAAACTTGGCCTTTAGCTGAAACTTTGCAACATTTTTCACCATATTTACCATCGGATACGCTAAAGGTAATTGTAGATTTTTGTTAAGGAGCATTTTTCGTTTTTTTTCTTTCTTCCGTAAGATATTTTATTTTACTTTAAATTTCTACGAAAGTCGTTAAATATTCGTCTGAAATTTTTAAAAATTTTGAAGAACTTTCGCAACTATTTATCGTATTTCAATACAAAGAAGAATTTTTCTTTTCTAATCAATTCTAGAAGTTTCAAAATTATGGCTCAATTTTGTCATTTTTATGATAATGCAAAAAACTCATCTGGAATGGAGCGGTACTGGTTGTGTTCCAGTAAATTTGCAGTTTTTGTCCCTGATGAGGTACCGCTTTGGACAGCATATAGCTCTGGCAGACTTTCACTTCAAGCACAAATTGACAATTCTCCTTATGCCAGTTTCTGTGTAAGTTATATTTTGTTGGAAGAGAGAAATTGAAATTATCCAAAAAATCGAAAATACGAATTTAAGTTATTTAAAAAGCTGAAAAGAAAAACACTCTTTGTAAATGTTTCGCTAAGTAGTTTAACTTGTATGACCATCTGATGATAGTAAAAGCAAAATAAGAAACAAGGTTAAAAAATTTAGGGTTTATTTCCAATAGGTATTTAATATGCGAAAAGATTATAGAACATTTCTATGACTTGAGGAAGAGGAAGATTCAAACAGCTGTAGAAATTTTCAAACAAAAATTTTTGTTATATTAACTCCCAACTTTGAATTTTGTTGATATTAAAATACTTAGATGAAAAACAAATAAAGTCGAATTTTCGAGTTTTTCTTTTTTTAAAACTTCATTTTTAGGATAATACTATCTCACCAATTCTTTCCTATTCAATATTTGTAGCGAAGCGTTGTACCTTACGTGAATTCCACGTAGTTCTTCATGGAAATTTGTATGATTCGTGCACAACTATTCCTGATGAAGCACTGATTCGCAAACCTATTTGGTCAACCTGGGCAAGGTAACAAATGTTTGTATATCTTTTTATATAATCATCTGTATTGCGTTATGCTAATATTATCATAAATTACCTTATTTGTCTTTTTTTGTCTAGAAGTTATATTTCCTGCCGTCTGACGCAAGCTATTCAAAAAGGGATGTCAATTTTTGTAGTTGTAATTGAAGATACTCGGAGAAAGTAACCCAACATGATGTGCTTGAATTTGCGCAAGAAATTCTAAATCATCATGCACCGATCTGCCAGCTTGAGTTAGATGATAGCTGGACTACATATTATGGCGATTTTGAAGTATGTCTTTTTGTAATTTACTTCAAGTTTTTACTCATTTATTTTTAATTTAATTTGATCTTTCTATTTGAAATTTTTTGAAACTTTGGTTTCTTAAATTTGAAACTCCAAGAAATTTGGAATCAAGACACCTAATATTTATTGATATTTGCATAGTTCAGTTTTCATGTTCATGTTGCTCGTTGCACTTTAGTTTAATAAGGCCAAATTCCCGGACGTCGAAGGTATGTGCAAGCAATTGAAACAGTGGGAGATTCGGCTAACTCTATGGGTCCATCCATTTGTCAATTTGGAAAGTGATAACGGGAAAAATCTGGCACTGCGACATTTGTTTGTGAAAGATTCCGGCGATCAACCAGGAATTGTTGAGTGGTGGCAAGGACAAGCTTATGTAATCGACTTCACAAATCCTGAAGCGGTGCACTGGTTTTGTAAACAGCTGGAAAAAATTAAAAAGGTGGTGATTTAAACAAAAGTATTTAATCAATGGACTTTGGAAATTGACTTCATTATACTAGCATTGCAATATTTCCATAGTCCTGAAATTTGAGAAAATAGTAAGAGATAGGAAAATTTTTCCAAGGCAATGATCAAAAATACTTCTAAATATTGCATAAGGACAGTTAGTAGTAAAGGATAACGACGGAGGAACCATACCATTTCGGTTAACGACAAATAATGAAAGTTAGAAATTATGCAGTCTCTTAAGTAACAGAAATAAAATAAATGGCAGGAATTACAAAACCATAGACAATGATAAATCAAAAATAAAAGTAGAAGCTAATAAACTATAAGATTGTTTTTCGCTGTTGGAGAATTCCTTATGTTAATCTATTAGATGTCTGCTTCTTTTCAGCTTGGCATATTTTCATTCAAATTTGATGCAGGTGAAGTAACTTATCTTCCAAATAATGTTCGTCTGCATTCTGGTGTTTCGCCAAATGATTTTTGCGAAGCTTACATCCGAGCAGCTGCATCGTTTGGATCCTCAATTGAGGTATATATTGAAACAAACGTGAATTAATAGATAATAATTTCTACATTTTCTGGAAAGTCATCCTCCTGAATCAAAGGATGTTGACCCTGTAATGACACTCAAATCATTAAGATATAAAATAAAATTCAGTGTAATACATATTTGAAATAGTTCAAAATCTAGTTCAAATCTAACAAATTTAGATTTGATATGCAAATACCTATATAGCTTAAGAACTAATTTGAGTGAATTTTAACAATTATAACGATTAGTTAAATAAAGCATTCGTTTTTAGTTCAAGTGAAGCATACGGGTACATCTGAATAATTTGTTTGGTACTTTCATGAAACAAAATTGAAGTCATATTAATTCTTGAGTAGCAGCATCAAACATGAAATTTTTGCTCACTTTGTTCATTGCAGGTAAGAGTTTTTCGTCGTACGCAATCCCTACCGATATTTTACAGAACAATGGATCGTCTGTCAACCTGGTTTGTATAATTAATTCATTTTTTCAAATTTCTGCAATTAATGAAAATGATATGTCGAGAAAATAATGTTTGTAACCGGATATTATTGCAGTAAACAGCTATGAACAAAAAAAAATGTAATTTGTATGATTTTTAATATCTTTATTGTTAAACATAATTTTAGGAATAACATTGGTTTGAACACTTTAATACCAATAGTACTTAATTTCGGACTACACGGTTATTATTATAATTTACCTGATATGATAGGTGGTAATGGATATGATGGCCAAAAATGTAGCAAAGAACTGTACATCCGTTGGATGCAGGCATTCTTTCTATTTCCTTTTATTATATTTATACTTTTATGATGATGAAATGCAGGAAATATTTTTTTCTTTATCTCCGTGCTCACATTTTCACAGTTTAGCTCGTATATTTTAATTTTCTCCTATTGTTTTACGTACGGGCACCATCGCAATGTGACAATGGTAAAAGACTGATATTGGTGAAATTGCCAAATTTTCAAGCAATTTCAGGGAAACGGCCGAGTCTTCATCAACCAAAATCTCACTCCTGTGTAGTCAAAAATGTTTTCATGGCTGGGAGTGTTGGATAAGCTTATATTCCGTTCAGAAAATCTATGCATGATGGGGCGACGTAAAATTTTATCTCGCAGCCCCCTATTTGTAGCAAATATAAATGAGTTTAAAGTGAAGCTTAACTATTATTGTTTTAGGCAAATGAGTTCTTACTATCCATGCAATTTTCATATTCTCCATGGCAATATGATAACGAGACATGTGATATTTTCCATCGGATTATGCAAAAACGCAATGAGCTGTTAAATTTCTTGATTGAAGCCTGCCGAAAAAGTTGCAAAAGCGGCCAACCCGTAATACGGTCTATAGTTTGTTTTATGGCAGTTTCATCAGTATTTTAAATTATAATAAAATATGGTTGTTCTACATTGCAGAATTCGGAAATATAACTTTTGGATGTTTGCCGCAGGAACCATTCCTGTTATGTAATATTCAATGGTTTGCTAAGCTAATTAAAGCACCAAACTTTTTTTAAATGAAAAGTGATATTTCCCACTTCTGGAAAAATGATATTCCAGGCCTTTATGGTGGCTTTCGGAAAATCCAGAAGCATTGCACTCTGGCGATCAGTTTGTTATAGATGACACCATGATTGTTGCACCAATTTTAACGGAAGGCGCAACGTCACGAGATGTTTTTCTACCGGACGGTGTCTGGGAATATGAGCTAACGCACAGTATTTACACTGGACCGAATAAATTGACTATTGAAGTAAGTAAATTTAAAATAAACTGAAAACAAAATTTTGGGAAAACAGTTTTGTTAGTTACATATTATTTTCTTTTTTTTTCAGGCTCCCCTTTTCCATCATGCGCCACCATATTTTACTTTAGTCGGTAATTTTTTTGGTTGACAATATTTTTGCAAAATTGCATTATATGGTATTCCAGCACGATGGTGAATTGACTGAATGAAATACTTCAGCCGTTTATTTTATTCTTCCCTTTCTTTCACAATTGATTTAATTGGAGTGTTTGGAATGTCCTATATAAAAAACTGAACTAATCGAAATCTAGATATTATAATGAAATTTCAAATTCCAGTTAGGAATGAGATAGTTTGGGGGATTTACTCCTTCATTTCGTTGATTATGCCTGATTCTGCTGCATTTTAGTCAAAACTCCAAAATCCCTCAAACACGGATTCCAATCGTGCAGTCTTTCAGAGACATTTTAAAGCAGGAGAGCGAGATATTTTGTGATCGATTATAATAAAAATTCATCATTGGTGAAACTTGAATTCTAGAAATGGAAATGTGAACTGATTAGCATGACATCGTTTTTTGGATACTTCTCCTTTTATCAGTTTAAGGTTGGAATCTTATTCCAAGCATCGAAATGTTATTGAAATATACGGCGATTATATTTTCAAACAGTATTTTGACTATATTTTCAAATTTTCATTGAGATTTAAACGTTTTTCTTGGTACTCAAAGAGCAGTTTTCCACGTGTACATTTATTTGATCTAACAGTTTGGCTTGTTGCTGTTGTAATTCTCGCTCCGCTACATTCTGCGGATCATTTATACATTTGGGTGGAAATGATTCGTGCACTCCTGTGACACTTCAACGAATTGATATCTGCTTATGTAACATTTCTTGAAAGCGAAAAAGAAATTTGTCTAACGGAGAAATATATAAAACACATACCTTTCGAAATATCCGGTGGATTGCCAGCCATCATCCTAGATACTGGGAAAATTTCTGAAGTAAATTTTACATTTGAAACTTCTCCTCATATAAGTTTGATGTTCATTTCATACTGCATTTGATAAACGAATTTCCTCCCCAAATATATGGATTCTCCCTCAGTACTTTCAAAGCAGTCCAAACTTCTAATCCTGATTGACACACCTTCACAGAACCAATCCGCTTTTCCGACTATCCGTTACAATTTTAATAAGTGAAATGCGACCGGCCATTACCCGTTCCCACTAATCAGTGAAAGATGCAACGATGAGGATGATTTAAATTAAACCAATCGTCATCGCGACCGAACACTTATTAGTAATTTGCATCTTACCGAATAGCATCAACCATCCGACAGCTAACATACTAGGAGACTCCAAAAAACTCCATAAGATAAAACCGGAGACTGTTTCCCCAATCAGTCAGTTCTGGACTTCCAATCAACAAAGATTGGTATTATCAAGGATTTATCCCTCTTTCTAAAGGAAATCTAAAATAGCAAATAAATCCACGAGAAAACCCATATAACGTTTGACTTTTTATATGAGAACCAATATTTCATTTCCTTTTCATTAACTGGTAATAGTTATTGATATTCTAATATATATTTGTTATAACCATTTTAAAATTTGCCTTCCGATTCCTCAATTTAAGAAAAATGTCGACAATTACCATTTCTCATTTCCATAGCGGAAAGAAGTAAACCGTGGCAGAAGAGAGGAAATAAAAAGCATACAAACAAACTATTGTTTCATTTGCATCGTTCAACATCAAGTACAAATATCACAATAAAAATATAAAATCAAATAAAGTAAAAGAAGAAAACACAAGAATGTTTTCAAATAAGCATAAAAAACAAAAGCACAAAAACTTGTGTGAAAACGAAAATAAACACTGATGGGTAATAGTTTTACAATATCGTTCCAATTTGTTCTTATAAATAGAATACAATCAATAAATTATATCTTCCAAGATATCTTTTTAAAAGACGACCGTATTCATCACCTAAACACAATTTTATTATTTTCAAACAAATATATGGAAGAAATAATCATAAATAATGCAAAAATGTAAATAATCGGCATATTGCAATTCATAGCTGGGCTACCAAGCAGATAATATAATAGTAGTGATTACAGTGGTGTATGATGCAATCACTAACAAATAGGGGAAAATGAAGAAATAAAAGTAAACCATATTTATAGACAAATTACAAATGAAAGATAAAACGAACAGCTATGATTTATACAATAAGCTAAGAGAAAAAAGTTTTAACACGAGAAGATTGCAGAAACTTCCAGAAAAGATCAGATTTCCATTCTTTCATTTTCCAGAAGTTATAAAATATCCCTGAAGATATACTAAACATGAGAAATAATAACAATAATAATTCGAAGTTATGAAAATTCCAAGTTTTTTGACCCATCGCGTAGTTCTAAAACGGAAAATTAAAGGTTAAAAAAGGAATTGAGATGTAGCGTGTCGTACATAATTTTAGAATCTGAGCTCGAAATGCATATCCGCAACTGCAAGTCTAACATCTAAATCAGGAATAATCTAAAGTAGAAAAAGAAATTCTCCGCATATTTGTACTCAATATATCAGCCTGAGGCTCTATCGTTCAATGCATGTTAGAATTTTCTAATTTTTTATGCGGTAGAGGAAAAAAGTTGTAAAGAAAAATTATTTTGAAAAACTCTTATAAAATCAGGAAAACAGATACAAACACGAAATCGGAAAACTGCAGAAACCTGCTTATAAAGCGAAAAACGAACACGGTAATCGACATCGAAATTATGGATATCAAAGAATTACCGAAAATAAAGATAAATAAAATGAAATACAATCTAGAACCATGCCTCTTCCTCACAATACATAAGAATAATTACATAATTGATAGTTATAAACAAAACTGGCAAAAAAAATAATATATTGATAATAAACTTCCAAACATTTCATGTAAAGGAAATAAAGAGAAATATTCAGAGATTCCAGGGGCCGTGAAAGTTTCCCAATAAATAATGCAAATTTCCAATTAATATTTAAAATAAAACAATCACCGATTATTACTACAAAATCCTATAAGTCGGGTCCCTGACGAAAATAGACTCAGAAACTTCAGCCCAGTTTAAACAATTCTTTGCTGTGAGTATAACTTATCAAAATTCAAATTCGTTCTTGCGCCTTCTCAGGCTAAACCAATTTCAAAACTCAAAAATCAAGCAAGAAACCTCAAATAACACAACATCCTTTTGAGATTAAGATAAAATGCATTTTAATTCTCTTAATCTCTCAATTAATGAAGCGATTAACGGCATTGCAAAGCCACATAAGAGCTTGAATATGAACGGGTAGACAGGAACGCCGTTCACCGCTTACCAGATCCATATTGAGCCACGATAAGGCATTGTACATTTCCAAAACATACCTAAAATTAGAGTGGAATTTTGCTTGAAAATGGGCTTATAAAAATAGGTTAGTAAAATATAACTCATCTCCATCTTATACCTGAAGTCAAATAATATTCTCAACGATAAAAGATGAGACGTCTCCAAATGTAATAAAGGAAGATGATAGTAACGTGGCAATTATGCTCAAAGAAGTCAGAAAATACAAGAGAGACAAATCTACTCAAATAATACTTTCAGAAGATTTCTCTATATGAACGATACCTGAGGACATCGGCTGTTGCCTGACTATCCAACTGATGATGACAAGCTTCGGTACTTTTACCAAATGATGAGATATCATCGCCTTGTTGAACATTTGGTGTATTTAAATGAAGTGAACTTTTTAGATGTACCGGATTTCGTCGTTTCGCAGAAGGACATGCTGACCAGAACCAATCCGGTAAATCAGATGCTGGTGCTGTTGAAATATAGTAACCGGTTGCGAGTGGTTGATTTTCTATCGAAACATCTAAAAATTTTCATTAAATCTTCTGAAACTAGTAGTAGATACAATCAGATAAATTTATGAAGACCAGCAAGCGAAAAATCTGATCGTTTCAAGCAAAATAACGGAATTTAAACGTGATCCACTGCAATAAAATGAACCTTAAAATTAATACAAAAAGTAAATAAGCGTGGTGGATCTACTCTAATTTTATACTCCTTTTTAAAGCATGTTTCCATTATTTTTAAATAAAAGTGCAAACAATGAATGTGTACAACAGAAACAAAATTGTCTTATGACTCAATTAACTCTTTCTGCTAAAATTAATTATGTTTGATTCCAGTCAATAATGTCACTGAAGAATGCATATACTTAATATAAATTAATTGTTTAACTTTATTTCATTTTTGGAAGAATATGTTTTAAAATTTTGACGTGCTCACCAGCATATTCACTTGGAATCCCTGTGTTTCCACCCAGTCGAAAGCTTGTTGATTGTGGCGGTGGTCCAGTACCATTTGTCATCAAATCCTCACCATTTCCAATCAGTTCACTGAATTCCTCACCAATTTCTTCCGTTAACAAATTTGAAAAATCATCCTCCTCCAACTCGGCAACACCATTCCCACCTTGATGATCTAACTGTAATAAAATTTATAATCAAGCATCAAAAATATCAAAATTACGCAACATATAGCAGAATCTTTTAAATCGTAAATGATGGACAAACATTCAAACTCGTCATTCTTTTACCTTTAAGTCGTTGTTAAACGACTAATACTTCGAAATTGCATGCATGTCAAGATGCTAAGCTAGTTAAAATGATAAGTCTTGCTTGCCGGGTTTTTAACTTTTCAAAACTGAACTCAAAAAAATCATTATTTTAATTGCATAAAAGTATATGCGCACTCTCTCTGCACTTATATTACAGTTTAGAAAAAATTAAAGTTTTGAGTGAAAAACATTTTGAAAAACTGTATGCGAATGTCAGACAATATGTTTAAAGTCAAAATTTTTATATCACTAAACTTTTAAAGTAGAATCTAAGAACATTCCGCAAATTCTGATTAAATTTTTAAAAAAAATACAAGTTAATGTAAAAAAAAGCCTGAAACACTTCAAGAAAGCATACATTCAACTCAGGACTGGTAGGGAAAACCAAAATATGTGTACAACTTGTATCATCTGGTGTCGTCAATGTACGATGTCGAGAATTTTTCAGGAAACGATCATCGTGCTGAAAGGATGACGGAAAAACACGAAGATGAGCTTCGGGTTCTAGGCTGACCAAACAAGCTGACAACACTCCGGGAACTTCCTAAAACACACGTGTTAATTTTTTCAGAAGCTATTTACGAGTCTAAATTAATCAAACTTGAATTTGATTAAAAACAAAATCGAATTTAAATACAAAACTAATCCACAATGTTTTTTCAACAAGTAAAAAAAGAATTACCGAAGTCCCGGGCATCACATGGCATGCCCGACACACATGTTTCATGCGTGTTCCAACTTGTTTCAAATAGGATTTGCTGAGGATTTGAGTCCAAACTGAAATGAGAAGAACTATTTTAATAAAACTTCTTTATCAAAGCAGAGGCTCCATTAATCTTAAAAAACTTCAAATTCACTAGTTAATGATAATATAATGAAATTCACTAGTTAATGATAATGTAATGAAAACAGATAGCTACCTGTACGAAAAGCAAAAACGACTATCTAAATTAGAAAATTTCGGAATAATGGTTCCTGATGAACAGTTTTAGTTTCAAGTTTAAACTGCTGAATTACTTTTTTCTGGGTCAAAATATGATTGAAATAATATTCATTAGAGTAGAGGCTACTACCTAACACGAACATTTTGGGAACAATGAATGTGATTTAAATATCAACACCTTACATTTAAATTCTCCATGACCAATTCGTCCAACTCTACCAATAACAAGCCGCCAGTTCCTGGTGCCATTAGCTAGTGTACCCAGAATGTATGACCACAGACGATACAAACTATCTCGGATCTGTGTCGACTGTTTGTACCTCATATTCACCCTGTAATCAATTAACATTTCCCACATCATGTTTGCACCGACTTGTGCCATTCCGATATATGACCAGATACATTGCTCACAATTAGATCTCCCTATACCTCCCAAATATTAAAAATATTATCCTCTCGAATTCGTAAATAATTTTTCCAGAACAAAGTAATTACTGTGCACAAAGCTAAACAACATTCAATTATTTTGGGCAGGACAAACAACATACCTTTTATGATCAGGTTTTAACCTCAAATTAATTAAGCAGTTGTCGAGCGAATGGCCTTGATGATCTGTCACGGTGGCAGCAAGCCAGTCATTTCCTATTAAACAATAACTAACAAACAATACAGCTTCATCAGTATTGATTTGCATGAGATCACAATTAGGACGCTGCATTACCGGTGATGGTGGGGCAAGAATGAATGGCTTGCTTGGGATCTGAAATGAATTATTGAAATATGAAATATGAATTATGTTGTATTTATTAATATATACCGCGTGGGTAGCAAGAAATGAAAATAATGTATATCGAGACCTTTAAATAACTTTATAAGGTTCGTGAGACATTGTAAAGCCCAAACAAGTGACCCGAAGTGACTTTTTGACAAACCATTAGTTATACAACTTTGACAACGTTACAGCAAAACTAAAGACCTAAACGTAATGAAAAGGAGAAATACTTTGTAATAAATAGGTTCTTTTCGTTCCAGTTCGTTTAACAAATCAACCATAGCCGATGCAGGACCAAAACGCGTCATACTTTTTGGCAAAATCCCACGTACAATATCCGGTAATACCACACGCGAATGCGTGTAAACCGAAAAAGCAACAGTTTTGAGTGAATCGGATGAAGATAACCGTTCATTTTGCGATTTCTCCAAACGTCCTAAAAAAATAATGCCCTGAGAAATCGAACTAATCAAAAGTTGAAAACTGAATTTTTGAAAAAATTTAAAAAAAAAAAACTAAATTTATAAGAAAGACAGTGTTACACAAGATAACACTGATCTGTCAATACTTCCTATCTCGATATATACCATAAAACAGTTTAGCTACCCCATGTCATGGCAAATAAAAATTTGCTTTCCTCCAACGGTTTATTTTTTTTAAAAATGACCTCAAGACTATAAGAATAACATACCTTGATCATACCCATTCAAACGTCCACGTTCATCCTTTAGGAAATCAGCAGAAACACCGCAATAATCGAAGACACTTTGTAACGCAATCATTTCCAACTGTAACTGCGGTCGACGTTTGTTGTTTAAACGATAAAGGAGTGCATTAAATGCACGCATCAGAGCAACCGTAACAACTCTTGCAACAAGTGGATTTTCTTCAGCACCCAGTAAAAACGGATTCACCTGAATTCGCATTTCAATTTCAAAGGTTTAGTGGATGGCTAACAAGCGTAAGTTATTTTAATTAATTAAATGAAAGAAACTACCACCTGACCACAATCTTCGTGCTCGGAAGATCGCTTTGTTTTTTACAATTTTCGGTTTATGTAGGTCAAAATTCGATTTGCAAAAAACTAATACAAATATTTACGAGGTAGATGACAATAACATGAGGTAGAGTTCCCGGTTCATCCTCTCCTATAATACCATCAGCTATTAACTGTTCAGCCATCAAAGATGAAAAGCTGCTCATATTTTGAGCGCCTCCATCACCAATAGAACCATCTGGTGTCAAGGATTCACCGATGCTTGAAGATGTCGCTCCAGCTGAACTAGGAGCACTCGCACTACTTGGGCCTGAATTCAAACAGCAAAATTAAGCACTTTGAAAGGACAAATGAATATTACTTCTTTTACAAAATCATCAATCGAAATAATTTTAGAAAAGATACCCTGTGAGGCTTCACTGGATTGACCGGAAATAATAATACTTCCAGATGCCGGAGGTGGTGGCATGTGATCAGAACCTGATGCTGTATAACCTCCACATTGGTAACTTGTCATTGAAACATGCTGCACGGAGTGCATCTGAAATCGAAAAATATCGCATTAAGCACTCTACAGATAAGCAGTGATATAGAATGTAGCACGGTATTTGAACCGGCTGAAGATATGTTACGCTCTCGATTTTTAAATTGCTGAGAAACTGATTCTGAATTTTAACAAACATATTTTAGTACGTACAGAAATTGATAGATTACTTAAAACAATAATGTTACCTGACTTTCGGCCAAAGCAGCACGATATTTGTCCCGGCTAAAGATATCATCATTGTTAATCAGTATACGAGCCATTTCATTTTCGAAATACTGCATATACACCTGGAAACAATCACGATCAAAGTAAAACAACCGTGGAAAAGTTGTTAAAAATTACATCTTGATATTGATCAAGGTTAAGAAGCCATAATGGGTAATGTTACTGTGGTCCTTTACAGCAATGATAAACAATTACTGTTGTTGTATCACTGTTGTTGTTCCTTCCTCACTTTGGTTAACAAATTTTACTTTCCCAACTTTCAAAAAAAGCTTTATTAATAATTCCGAACCTTTAATCGTGTAATCAACGACTTGTTATCACCAATGTGTCGCTCGACTTGATTCAGGAAATTGTCACATTCACCTGGATTCGTTGCTGGATACCGTGTAGGGACACGCAGAAGACCATCTCGTAACATTTCTCGTGAAAATGGTATGTGACGGCCAAAACGACACTGCTCGTACATTCTGTAACCAGAGAAGGAATTGAATATTAATTTGTTAACGCAACACATTACCACTAAGTGCTCACTAGGAAATTAGAAGTGTTTCTATGTCAGCGAGCTAGTTTCCACAAGGATAGCGAAGACAAGGATTTAATTTGATCGAGATGAATAAGTACATAACCGAGAAGTTATTGTAATAAGAACAGGTTACTAAATGTGTTAACGAGTTGGATAGTTGAAGTGAAGTATTTAAAGCGGCTGGTGATTTATTGAAGTATTAGTAAGAATTTTATGTATTTTGTTGAAAAGAAATGCTGTTAAAATTTGAAGCCAGTAATATGAAAAAGAAATTAATGTAATTTACCTAGACAGGTCCATGAGGTATTTTTTTGTCTTCTCGATGCAAATCAGATTATCCGGAACAACACCGATATAAAGTACATCTTTCGGCTGATCGTACGGTTCCAATGACATCTTTTCCCACAATCTTATGATCTGTGGCGATGTTATAATTGCATCTTTTTCCGATGCAACAACTATATTCGGCACAGCTTCCGGTCCGCTATCATCTTCCTTAAAAAGCTTCTCAGATAATTTAACTGAAATCCCTTATAACTGATTACCAATTTTTGTAGGAAATAATTAAAATTCGAAAAGTTAAAATTATAAAGCCAGGAATATAGAAATATATAATTGAAAGCATATAATGGAATTAAATAATTTGAAAACAAAAATTAAAAATGCCAATTTTTGCTTTAGCTAAATAATTATAAATCCATACAAATAAAAGAAACAATGGGAAGTCGTTAGTGAAAAGCTACGAATCGAATTAAATCGACTGAAATTATACCATTCCTCCAGCAGCTTTCAATGCTTTACGATCGAAAAATCGCCATGTCAATGGTCCTTCCACTATGTTGTTGCTCCCGAACAGTGGTGATGAACGAGCAATTCGTAAAGATTCTTCAAGAATTGGTCCAATTTCTTGCAACAACGCCATGCATTCAGACTCGCGCGGTTCACGCATTTCATTTGATATCTGCAATTCAGACTGTCAGCAGATTATTCCTGATGAATCTACAATCATTCTATATTTTGTTTATTTTTTCATTGAATTGCAGAAATAGATCCATTCTTCATCTACTTAATTTTTCTATCATATGCCCCCTCTTCTTTGATTTCATTATTTTAGCAGTGACTTACCTGAACTCCCCAGTCATGAAGAAGCACACTTCGCACATCGTGCGGCGGACGTCGGCAGTTCATTTCCATACAAGCAACCTCGCAAGCAGCTTGAAATACCAACGGTAATTCCCGCTGATCCACCTCCGAAATTATATACTCACAATGCTTTGATGAATCGGACCCAATGCGTTCTGTCTGTTAAAAAAAAAATAATAAATAACAAACTCACGAAAATCTGAAGTTATACACTTCAACGTTTTGTAGATTTATTTATACATGTTATCCTCAGCAAAGAAGTACACATTTAAAACTTCGAATTCATTCGTATTATTCCCATGCTATCACTTGCTACTACTGTCACTATGCACCATTCAAATCATTAAATCTTTTAAATTGTAAAAATTATTTCAATAGTATTTACCTGAGAGGCTCGCTCACATTGCAGGCTGAGTAACGTGACCTGATCTAACAATCCACCAAGGTCACGCACAAGTGTTTGTTCACGCAGTAAAGCGATGAAATTCATGTCCCTTAAAAATACAATCCCAAGTAAGTTGGTAGATGCCATTTGATAAAATGCAAAAAACTTCAATCAACTTCTCCTTAACGACTTGATTTTATAAAATTTATAGATTACTAGTGTCATCATTATAATGTTTTTCAGATCATATTTAACTAAAGAGGTTCCTGTATAAATTTATGTATGTCAGCTGATGCTTAGGCTGTTTTTCTTTTCACAACCAGAAGATTCTTAAGTATTTAAATTAATAATCTTTCTTTATATAAATGAAAACTAACCGCCCACTCATTGAGTCGAACCAAATGGTATGTGGGATTGCTGGTTGATTTTGAGTTTCATTGATATCCGTTGCTTCCTTTGCATCTTCAGCGAATAAACCAGCTTTCATACTTAAATAACGATGTCGAACAGCACTGAAACGAAGCTAATTGAAATACGAGCGACAGCAAGTTACAAAGCCAGCACAAGATATAAATCTTATAAACAATAACTAAAATAATAACTAAAATTAAGCGTCTAACGAAGAATACATCATTATTGATATTTTCCCGAAGATACAAGTAAATTAACATGACAGTTACTGTCAATAATGACAACCATACGAAACAATGAATCAAAAACTTCAGGTAGGATTGTGCCAAAAAATCCAAATAAAAACTTGATTTCTACAAAGATGAACCCAAATACTTGAAAACCGTACCTAAATCCACAGTTACACGAATTTGATGTATTATTATAGAATCCACTGGTTGGCTTGCTAACAATTAGCTGTTGCTGCGCTGGTGATTGTCTCAGCACTTCGGGCGGTGTTATATAGACTCCAAGTTCCTGAAAGTTTGTTGAAGTTTCATTTAATCTTATTAATATCATCTTTCCTTCTCATAAAGTCAATCTCCTCCAGAAAAACACAACTTTTACTTTCAGTAGGACAATGAGATACGGCTAAATAAAAAAAAAAGGAACGTTTACCTTCGCTCTGATGCTACCATTACATGAACAAATTGGACAAGAATCGAAAACTGAATCATAATGAAGATCCAGAACAGTATCCTGGAGTAGTACAGCAAGTACCAAGGATTTTCCTTCCGGATGTGTCCGTATATTATTCGGTGGAACACCAGTTGTATCCATAACAGGCGGCATATTCATTAGACGGCTAAAAAAGGTTTCAATAATTTACCTTAAGTTAGTTCTATAAACAGGAGTATCTACAGATTTTTTCGACAAATGTTTATTTACTATTTTTGTTGCATTTATTTTTCTCATTATTTGCTTAGTAAGTGTTTGGCAAGCGATAAAATCTTTGAATAACTATTTGCTTACTTTCCAAATAACCCGCTATTATTAGGACTTCCGATGGATGGTGGCACTGCTATCATGGAATTCTGCGATGTCCGCGGACCGCACATCATGTTTGGATTTTGCGCTTGTGCTATTAACGTATTCGGACGTATCATGTGCGGCGATTGCGAATACATCATTGAACCAGCTTGAACGTTATGTACTGGAGGATACGGATGGTTTATTGCTTGAGAAAATGGTGGTGGTGGTTCGACTGATGCTTGACTCTGGAAAGTAAACGTTATAGTCTTAAATCACAAAATGTTTGTTTTTTAGAATTTTGAATAATGGTCTCATTATACAGTTGATAAACTTCCGAATTTTGACTAATCGTAAGCACTGTTACAGAATAATCGATGCTACCTAATTTTAAAGTAATTCAACACATAATTTTCGCACCTGCGAATCAATTCCATAGGAGTCTGATGAATGAATGGCATGTTGTGCTGACAAGTTTCCACTTATATTGCAACGGAACATCATCTGAAATTGGACGAATTACTTCTTAATTTAGAGTATCCAAAACTAAACTCTAATATTACAGAATAAAATTAAGTGATTGGGGATTTGAAACTCTCCTGCTAATTTCAGTGGAAATTGATGTTACATCCCAGAGATCTGGAGCTATTTTATCCCATTTTCAGCTAAATGTTTGATATATTAGAGAAGAAACTACATAGGACAGTCGCCAACAAATATAACACTTGAGAGCACCGAATACCTGTTGCTGATAGATATTCTGCTGTGATGGATTCACGGTTGTCATTCCCATCTGCCCATTGAAATTGGCATTGTTAACAAAATGACTGAGCTGTTGGAATGGTTGTTGCGGTTGTTGCATGGAAAACTGTCCGTTTGGTGGTCCCGCTCCATGCATACTATTTGCGCCTAATGATTGCGATGGAGCTGTGCCATGCATTCCACCAAGCATGTGCGATGACTGCATTGGATCAGTATTCATTGAGCACATTGGACCACCCGGAAATGAACAGATCGGATTTGGAGCATTCATCACTCCAGGTGGACCACAGAATTGAGCTGATTGACCCATAAAAGAGGGATGTTGTGGTGCACCGGTTTGTGATGCGTATGGTGGTATGGATGGTATCCTGAAGGATTCGTGATTTCTAAAATCATGTTAGAAATTTATGTTCCGCAGTTAGCTTTTTACAATTAGAAACAAACCTTGTTAACGACCGAAGATGTGCCATCGACATTTGCTGATTCATATGAACAACACCCATTCGTGAGGAACCAGGGATCGTTTGCATAATGGCGGTACCATTGGGTGGCATACAACTATTACTCATCATCACGCTCATCATTGAATTATTACCATTATATGATGCTCCCGCAAACGATGGCCCATTTGTAACGAAATTAGGCATTGACATACCGTGTTGTAACACTGCAAATGTTAAGATTCAAATGTTAATTTTGACTTTTTTGATTAAATAACATTAATGAATGAAATCAAGAGACAAACAAAAGGTGCGGAAAATATTAGATCCTAAATAGTGCACAATAAACTTTGGAATAATTAAAATGATAACATGTAAAACCATAAACTGCTAAGATGAAGAATAAAAAGTATTAATCCAAATCTTCAATTAAATGTAACATTCGGTTTCCCTATATTTGAACGGTTCAAATTCATATTTTAAAATCAAAAATTCAAAATCATACTTTGCAAAGTTGGTAGACAGTGCGAAGAAAGCATATGACCATTGTTATATGGTATTCGATAATGACGAGTAGTGGCGAAGGATGAGTGTGGGGCAAGATTCCGAAAACGTTCACGCATGAATAAATAATCTGGAGCACGACCAACCTTTCTCCGCTTCTCACGCGCCGCAACAGCTGTTTTGATGAGCTTTAATTGATCTGCATAGACACCTTCTAGCACTTGACATTCTTTTGCCTAAGATTTCAAAGCTTCTGGAACGGTAAAATAAAAATGCAATTCTGAAACTTTTTTAATTTTGAAAAAAACCTGAAATTAAGAAGTGGTTTACTTAGTCCCTTTAATGATGAGAAAATCTTCCTTTCAATCAACTATTTACGTAGAATTCTGTGAGACGAAAATCGAACCTATAAATGACACTTATCTCACCCTTTGTCTTCCCATCTCTTATTTTTTCCACATGATCCCATCAACAACGAAGATTTTACCTCCAACGATAAAAATTCTTTGGCAAGTATATTTCCAGCAAACTTTCCACTTAGTGCCATCTCCAATTTCATAAATTTACCGTACACCGGTTTTTCACCAATCGAATAATGCAGCTTACCCTGCATAAGATTTTCACTCAACTTCTTTTATTCAAAAAAGTGCAATAAACTATCGGTTTTATGATAAAGTATAGATTTATGAAATTTAATCTTAAAAAATCAAAAAAACATATCTTAAAAAATTAAAAAACATAAATCAAGAGTTTGTTCACCACCTTCGTTTACAGTTACCTTTTAAATTATCATATAGATGGTTTCATGAATTAAAAAAGAAGATCGGGCATAAAAAATTTTTTAAATTCTCGTTCGATTTTCATTTCCAATGCCCATTTCTAGCATTTTTAGAAAACGATTGCGTTGAAGAAAGAAATATGTCATTACACATATTGATTTAAACCGTAAAGTTAAATTTGCTGATATTATTTTTTAATATCCTTAAAGTGAATAAGTAAAGCAAATCAAAATAGAGATTAACCTGTAAAAATATGGATCCTTATTCAAGACAATACAATGCAAAAACTTCACGCTCAAAAAAATAACCACATCTAACTTGCCTAGCATTTTCTAACAAAAGTATTTTGAAACAAACCAAAAGTCTTTCATCGTCATTATCAAGTTCTTGTTTAACAGTTGAGACGGTTTCGGTCGCAATATCAGTTTCCGAAATAACATTAGGAGGTATTTGCACGGGAGGAATATTATGACAAAGATTTACTGCTGCCGCTGCTGCTGCCATATACGAAACCGTTGGTGGGTAGAGAATACTAGTTGGATTTGCCTGTATGAGCGTATTTTGAGGACTAAACTGTTGAGACTGAAAAAATGAACTTTATAAATTTTTTTAGATAGAAATTATGATGTCAGGAGAAAATTTTATAAAAAAAATCATAACATCTGGAGAGAAATCCTTTACTACCCTCTCTATTAAAGAACTCCTAAAATTGAGGAAAATTAGCAAATTAAAAACAACTAGATATAATAACTTAACGAAAGGTACAAAGCAATCAATTATAGGTTAAAAGGTGAAACTTACTTGAGTTGCATCAACTGATGGGGGAGTTGGATATATCATGTAATCGCCTACTGATGGAGGTCCGCCAACACGTGCCATCTGCAAGAATTATAAATTTAGAAATATTTCTAGGCAATCTGAAAATTTCATAAATGATTTTAGTGGTGTTTCATAAAGGATTTCAGACAATTTTATAAACGATTTCTATAAAGGTTTTTAGACAAATCCAGATAGACCTCACTATCCAAATATGAAACAGATTTTGAAATTAAAACTTCAGAATTAAACGAAAAATCGGAATAACAAACCACATTTGCAACAGTTCCCCCCAAAATCTGCGTCGGCTCAACCCTTTCGTTGCTTGCTGGGGGAGATAAATGCACCGAATCAGTCACAGCAGTCTGAAAAATCCAATAATGGAAGAAAAGAAACTCGAAGATATGCTTTGGATTAATTGAATTTTTTTCAATATAATTTTTAAAAACTTAAATTATGTCATTGATATGATGTCTGCAAAAAAACAGAAAGATGTTGGAGAAGAACAGAACTGACCAAACTATTTCTTTTATGAGTGGTCGCTACCAGATCTCGAAATATTGCATACTATCTCACCTCATCAGTAGAACCTGCTCTTATATTTAACTACACTTCCTATTAAAATAATAAAACTTACATCAACCGGACTTCTTTCAATCATTGCAATAGTGGATGGGTTACAATCATCAAGAAACAAAGGCTGAGTATCACATTCAGAAGTGAAGATACTGGGAGTCAAGTGAACATCCGTACTCGATGGCAAAACAGACCCGACTAAAAGAAAAAAATATCTCAATAAATATCCCGATAATTTGTGAAAATTAAATTTTAAAACACATCAAGTGAAATATTTTCAAGTCCGATTTTTCAGGCACCTATAATATGCACAAAAATAAATGCAAATCTTTTATGCCGATGTTTGGGATGCTATATCGCGTTTTAATGTTGTTTTTGGCTTTCAAAAATTATACATACACATGATTAAAGTATTTATCTCTATTAACCAAGTAAAAAATAATGTTCCATTATTGAGTGAAAAAGCAAATTCGTAATAATGGATAGCAATATTTTTGCCAATATTTTGGAAGAAAAAAGTTTACTTTGTGAGAACACCGGCAAATTGCGCACACCGTCTTGTGCCTGAGAAGTTGAAACACTAATAAGAGAAGATTCATTTTGTAATACTACCAATCGACTATTAGAGGATTCGACTGCTTCGTCTTTGATTTCCAATTTGCATTCACGAAGTTTAAATTCACCAGAGCATGTGAAATTAATATCATCACCACTCTCACCATCTTCCTGCAAAACAAAACCTATCAACTTAGTAGTATCACAAAATCTATAGAGGTAGTCGATCGATTTGAAAAATCTAGAATTTAACTCCCGATTTCAGTATCATTCTTATGTACAAAAAGAATTTCTTAACAACCTTTTTTTTTTCCATCACTTATTTGTTCATATTTCGCCTTGGACCGTGGTCCAAAAACGATGCTAAAGTCGCAAAACATAGTCATAATCTATGCAAACATTTAAAAAAAATCTGTTCATCTTTGGAAGTAACACCTACACCAACTTTTGATGTCAGAAACGACACATCCAATGATTCGATGCCACTCCATTCTAGCTTTTCATATGCTTTTCGCTTTCGTCCTTTAGATTTTTTGTCCTAAAAAATTTTTGTACGATTAAACTCGAAACCAGTAGTTCCGAATTAGTTCATTAAACTTCACAATGGAAGTTGGAAGCAGCTATCGCTGTTGCACATTGAGATTTCCAACAATTAAACAATTCAATTATAAAACAGCTTTGATCAGTCTTATTTACTTGGCGATAATTTCAAATTTTGAATTTATGAAAAAAGAATTAACATTTTATTTCATCATTAACGTGTTGCCATCAAGTGAATAACAAATTTAAATTTTAACTTAAAAAATGACGAATTCGAAATTCAATGAAATTTGAGGGCGAACCATTTTTGATCGCAAGCCGCTTATTAAATTAGGCTGTTGTTCTACAATCGAAGGTCCATGTTTTCTTGCTGATAGTGAAGCAAAATCATTGCTTAAACAATCTTTCGACTGCATGCGATTCAATGGTTCTGTTTGGGATGTATCGCAAGCTGGAGAACGTGGCCTAAAATGCTGGGATGAATTAGTTCGATCTTGAAAAAGGAAACAGACGTTTAGCGAATTGAGATCGATCTTTAAGCACTGAATAAGTACAATCGGAGCTAAAAATTTTTTACGGTGAGGAAATTTCATCTCTTAAATTCTTATTTGCATAAGGTACTACACAAAAGCTAATATTTTTAAAATAATCAAAAAATAATAAAAATATAAACATCAAAAATCGATTAGATTTACCGACTAGTAGGACTTAAATTTTGATAGACTGGTTTACAGCTTCCAATTTTACCAAACATTTGCACAGAATTTTTCTGTACACGTCGACGTTCTGGAGATTCTGTTAGCGCTGAAGCATCTGGTGTTTTCGGACATATATGTCTATCTTCTACAGAATACAATGATCAGCAATCAAATCATTTGAATTTAAAAACAACAAAAAAAACTTTAATTCAGCAAAAATAGAGGGTAATTTAAAGCCATACTGGACTAATCAAATAAAATCATAGGTATTAAAGTTGTCTTAAATAAATCAAAGTTATTTTAACGGAGTTAAAAAATACTGAGTCACGCGAGCATAACGTGGTTAAATAGAACTTATTTAATGCACCCAAAAAATATTTATTTACCATGCAGTGGATCAGTGCGTCCAGACTTTGAACTACTTCTGGAATTACGGAAATAGCTTTCACGTATCCAGTCAAGATTATGCCCATTATCTACGGCTTCTGAATTGGTAGCTAAAATTTTCTTTTCCCAAGGCGGTGATCGTAGCGGTGACGGAGAGCGTGCACAGGACGAAGAACGCCGATGAAATATGGTTGATCTTCTATAAAGCAATAGTGGCAGTTAAGATGCTTTTAAGTAATCTGGTGATAAAAGCATAGTGTAGAAATTATGAGCAGAAACAGTTCTTCCACTATATTTCCTTAACTTATTACACGTTTCTTTATTCTTAGAAGACAACTAACTCCTTCCTTGCTTCCAAGCTGGAACCGTTACTCAGGAAATTGACTGGCGTACAACAGGACTGATTAGGCTCCTGGCCAATACAAGCGTCTGAAAGCAACAGAATTCACCAATCTCTCAAATAATCATTTATTAAAAATAACGAGATGTGTAAACTGCTATTATTTTCCGAATCAAAATCGACTTTCCATATTCTTTTAAACGGGATCATCCAGACGTGGATAAATAAATGAAGATGGCTACAAAAATTTTTGTAAAGGAAATTAACAAAATGTTCGAAGGCCACAAAGAGACATGCCTTGCTGAGGTGTTACGCGCTGCGATGACAGATTGGGAATAGCGGCAGTGCTGCTAGACTGTTGTAAACGACATTGATGGCAACCACATCCTTCTTCGCGGTCCTTTCGTCGCATTCCATCTGTGAAATTCCACCTTAAAAAGATTCTTATATCAATAATATTTGATTCAGAGTTACGGAATACTTGCACAGACATGGATGGCGCTAAGTCTACTGTGGGGAAGGATAATTGTACTGATGCAATAAATATTGCATCTGCTTAAAAATATTAAAATGAAAACATTCTACTTCTTTGCAATTCTATATGCTCATGCATTTTTAATTTTAATCCTCGTTGTATTTCAATTTTGAAAAACTTGAAATTGAAAATGAACTGAAATGTAAAAGGATTTAGATGAAGAAGAATAGAGGAAACATACCGGCAATCATCATCATTTGTAGCAGCTGACATTAAAAAGCCCAAACCAGAAGAGGAGGGCGATTCTGTGCTTTCTTTTCGCCGATTATTTGCCGGAGCAATGAAGGATTCTTCAAAAAACCTTAAAACTAATTGTTTGACATTAAAAGGTCATTTATAAAAGCTGTAGAAGCTTTCACCTGTGCAAACTATCATTTTCTTTAAAATTTTCCTAATTCAATGGCTGGTTCCATCTAGAAACTGGTCCGAAAAGAATAATCGATTAGAATATACAATGACTAGTTCCATCTATCCGTATTCGCCGTGTTCCAACTAACGATTTTATCCGCCGTTGTCTTTCTTTCTCGCTAAGATAAAAATAAAGCAGGGACATAAACATCCAAACCGAATAAATTTAGGTGATCCAAAACCTGGAATACAAATCTGAAACTAATAAAACCAACCTTTGTGCTGCTCTTGCGCCATTCACCATCGTCCCATACATTGCATTATGTCGTTCAGCATTAGGTACTACGTCACATTCGCTGAGCCTTTTTTTCCGTTTCCGAAATGACGGAGTGTTTCGTAATCTCGTATGTCCGCCAGTAGCTGGTGGTGTTCGCGCGGTAAAGCTGCTGCTGTTACTTCCGCTATTGAAAAAGTCTAAATCCCCATCACTGGCAGTCTTTTCATTCTGTCTAAAATAATTCGTAAAATTTGAATTAAGGTCAAACTTCTACATTTCCAACAACCTTTCAGTAAATTCCAAATACAGAAAAGCAGATATGTAATCACAGCAGATAATTCATCTCTGAAACTTTAGAAGCAAAGAGAAAATTATTAAATTAAATCCTATTTGTATCGTTTTTAAGAGAAGGCCTCATTCCTACCACGAGATAACTCCTCAAAGTCAATCATATCCAGCAAAAATATTAATGCTGAAAAAAGATAAACCTCATCAACAAGTCATCGGAAGCCTGAACAACAATCAGTGAACTTGGATACCACATATTAACTCCATCCACGTCCACTAAGACCATTTTTGGCAGGCTACTTTTGGCTGGTGATGTCTGCAAGAAAAAAACTATTCAATTTTTCAGTTAAGTTGAGCACCTACAGTTCTAACAATGCTTTATACAGACATTTCTTAAGATGAAACCTAGGTTCAATTGCATTCGACGTGCATTGTTACTACCAGAAGATGTGCAGCACTGAAACGGTTTGGCAAGAAGGAAAAGATTTTCTTCGTGCTATCGCGAAAGGCTGAATAAACGAACTTCACAAAATTTTGAAAGAAAAACTAACACTTTCGGTGAAGCCAACATAGCCAACAGTATCTGCTGAACTTAGATTCCTTTCAACATTAACAATTAAACAGAAGAATTGCAACCATTCAGACCACAATTTGTCCACAGCAGTTTTTGAAATAGTTCCTGCGCCATCATGCTGGACAACAGAAGATAATGGTTCACGATAGTTGCTTGAATATGATGCTGAAAAACTAGTGAAGCTACTTGAAACAGCGACTCTAACAAAATAAGAACATAGATTCAAAATATTATAAGGACGGTAATAACTAGGCAGCAATGAAAGAATATAAATATCTCTACGTTCCAACCTAATCAATCTATAAGAATATAAAAATAGCTGAAAGAGAAAAAACTAATGTTGAAATGCACAACTAGAAAAAAATACAAAAGTAAGAGGAGCAAAACATACCGCATTGTGGTGTGGGAGGTTGCTGCTGCAATACTGATGTTGTGGAATCAACAATTCTCGGTTGTTCAGGTAATAATACGGCACGCATTGACCATGGCCCTAATATCACCGGTTGTTTCTTACCCAAATCCAAATGACGCCGTGAAAGGCGAAATAAGGTTGGCTGTCGTTGTACAGAGACAGTTGCACAAACAATATTTTCACCATGAACGAAAAAATTGAAACTGATTCCATTCACATAGCTAAAAGCTGAGTGATTTCATGCGAATTTGATTTAGGTAACTTTATATGAATTGGAAGAAAATTGTAAAAACAAGCAATCACACAATTAAAAGCTTAATAAGCAAGAAAAAAGAAATATAAACAAAGGAAAAAGTTAATTCGAAAGCAAAAAACTGAGATGTTTCCAATACTCTTTTTCTCTTCCCTCCTCACCACCCACCATTTTCTCTTCCCTCCTCACCAATCAGTATAAGATGACAGCTATGTTTCTTCGAAAGTGGACAAAGATGTACACCAGATTTCGAAAAGAGGAGAAAAACAATTTTTTCTACTAAAAATTGAATAATATAACAAGAAACGAGGTGGTAAAAAATAGTAGTTAACAGCGGTTCTTCAATAATAAAAGTTCAAGAAAATATACCTAGGAGAACAGTGTATACGATCGGATGAAGGTACTTCGTACGGACGTGTAAAATATTTTCCAATACGAATGTATCCATTTTTTAGCATATTCCTAAAAAGAGAATTCGCAGAATAATTATGCTTTAAGAATTCGTCGATTCCTCCACAGCCATGAGCAGAGTATAAAAAAGCATTAGGATGGAACTGAAGCTGAGTACTTAATATAAATTTTATCCATTTCGATGATGATCAAAAAACTGCTGCTCCTTTCTATAAAACTTTTTTCCTCCCATAGAAAAAGCAGGAAAACGCAAAATACAAAATATTGCCAAAAACTTATTTTTTTAACAAATATTATTATTAAAAAAATAAGTGTCTAAATTTTAAAAAATGCACCAATAATAATAATATTTGAGGTTACGAAAACCGAACTTCATCGTTATCTCGATTGTATGACCCCTATGGAACCATTTAAACTTACCGTTCTATCAAATTATGTAGTGCCTTGAAAAATAGTGTCCTCGTTTCATATTGTATGCCTGGTACTGACCAGTTACCTTGACCATCTTCAGCACCTGAAAATTTTACTTTTCGAATAACACAATCATTTTCCAAATATTTGGTAAGGTACGTTTTTATTGACATATATATATGGGGAAGATCTAGGATCATCAAATATTAGATTTCTTATCGCAGGCTTACGATAATGAATATTTTTATTTCCTTCTCATCTGCGAAAAGTTCCGAGAAAAATAATTCATATTACATGAGGGAATATCAAAGACGATGAGCAAAGGATCACCTTAAATAGATTAAAAAAAATGAATCAACAATAGACAGTATCGAATAAATGAATCGCAGAGTAAAAAGAAAAAAATAAATAAATGAAAACGAATAAAAATATAAACCTTAACCGATCCTCTCAGCTTTTTGGAACACGAAATATGGTTTTGTTTTTGGAATGATTATAATGTTATTAATGTCCTTATGTCCATAGATAGCCTTTCATTGAAATCAAATAAAAAACAAAGATAAAATAAGAAATATCTTAAAAAGTCAACAACATACATGCCAAATGACTGGTATATTCAGTGAGACAATCCGGTTCATCATGAGAATACCAGAAAATCCACAATTCTTTGACAACATCTATCCTGTAATCTGGTAGTTGCATAGCTGCAAGTGTCGCGGATGGTTGGGGTGGTTGTCGTCTCCAAGCACAGAGAATCCCTGCTTGCAAGCATCTTGCATAAGCACTTAATACGGGATCTTGCTCCAGACTTGTCCAAGTTCTTTGCGACAAAGGTGTTGTTAAGCATTTCCACTTGAGACCATTCAATTCCGTCTGAAAAAAATGTAGCAGAGTTATTACATAATTCATTTCCTTTCTCTCATAATTCAATTCTATTACAATTTTTTTAAATGAAAAATTCAAAAGAAAAAGTTTTTTCATTTTTCAACAATCTTTCTTCACTAATATCCCTTCCCATAACTTTCCAGTTACTAGATATGCATTTCTCTTCATGAAGGCATAAATTACACTCTCCGTGGACTGAAAACACAGACCAAATGAAATCAAACCACTCAATCCATTGACTAACGAGATTTACCTTGCCAGGCAAAAATATTTTCAGATTTCTTGACATCTTCATAAAATCTTCTTGTAGCTTGTATACCTCACATAGATTTCACATTTTCTTTTCACTTAGTATGTTATTCCCTTCTACTGCTTATAACAGTTAAAACTACACATTGTTCTTTCCTTTCTTTTTTTCTTACCCATCACAATATAATTTGCTCGACAAGTGAACAACTTTTCTAAGCTCCATGCTTGCAACAGCAATCAATATTAATGATATTCCTTGCTGACAGTGAAAGATTCTCGGAAAGTCATTTAAGTCTGCTCAATTTTGTTTGCGTTTGTTATCTCACATATTCCAAGCAAAGCATTATGCGTAAATCCATTGTGACATCTTGCGCGTAGCTTTCAGATACAGTAGGATAACAGTAACATGTTAGTTTGCTTCACGAAATGTGTAATTTCACCAGAATACTAAAGCTCATTATAAACGCACAATTTCATCCTCTCTTTTAATGCCAGCTTTCAAGAATACTTGCAAAACTGGAATTTGAACACCGATTATTGTAAATTAAATGAATTATTTGATCTTTGAAATCTGTAACTTATTCCGGTAACAAAGTTATTCATGTCCAAATCGAGCGTAAACATAATTGAAAACCCATCTCTAATTTACTTACCAAAGCAAAGACGTTCGTGTGACAATCTTCAAGACTCCCACCATTGGTGGACATACTGAAATTTGGTGAAATTTTTAGTTATCACCAAAACAGCATGAAATACACTAATAAATAAATTACGCAGCAGCAGCAAATAATAATAGTAGTAGTAGGAGTGGCAATAGCGTAGTAGCAGCAGTAGTAGTAGTAATGGTGACGATGATTGTAGTGGTAGTAGTTGCAGTATCCAGTAACTGTTATAGTTGCAACTGCAATAAAAGTAGTGCGTAGGTGATTACTTTCGCTTCTAACAGTGATAATAAATCACAGTTGTCCTACATATACACCACACTGAAATATGCTTGAGGAAGAACAATGAATTGTGACAAGGGAACAATAATAGAATAGAATAAAGCAGGATGAAATTGAAAATAAGAATGATAAGAGCAGGAAAGAGTAAGTCACCAGCGTTTAGGCGCGAATATCCACGATTTGGTGACGTCGAAGGTAGCCACATCCAGTGCTACCTTATTCCAATTTTCGCAACATTCTCCTGGCCCCTGCAAGGACATTCGCGCCAAAGCTTCGTTATCCGAAAGACCAAATTGTTAACAGTGATTTTGGCGATCGTCGTAATGAGGGCGAAATATTTCTTCTCTTTTCCTTTTTTTCAAACAAATCTGTAAAGAATGCAACAAAAATTTTTTCCAAAATTTTATATGCAAGAAACTTTTTTACGATTTAAAAGAACGCAACAAACACAAATCATAGATCAATATAAAATTTTGTCACACTTCATGGTCTAATCTGCTACAACTTCCAGTTATCAGTCTAGTGTAATCCAACCATTGTTCTAACTGCTAATTAGTTTCATCGTCATAAATCCAGTATCGCCTCACCTCACTAAAAACCATTATTGATTCCTTCTGCTTTCCTATTCCTTTCTCTTCATCTTTATATCACTACACCTTTATTATACCTCTTTGCCCACATCAAAAGCGCTTAACATGTAAACCCTCTAACCACTTTCCACCTTCGTTAACCATCATTCTCTACAAGCCAGTAACAAAACCGTTCCTGAATGAATCAAACTTGAATCAAATCTAACTGAAACAAAGCGTATTTGCTCAACTATAAATGAACAACATTCCACATCTGGTCGAGAAAAAAATCAATATGCTTCAACAATTACAACCGAATTTCTATCGAATAATAAATAAGGAAGCAACATTATTCTAAATCAGTCATTAAAATCAAAACCTCAACATATCAAATACAAATTATTCCATTGGTAATTAAAACTGTACCATAATTAATGGATAAAATTACAAACCCGTATAATGACCATTTCCCCCCTCTTTCCAATAACCAAACATTTCCAAAAAGTCCCTATAAATTACGCTGTCCGATATCAATGAGATTCTGGCCTCTGCCCATTCATGTCCTCATTCATGTCCTCGAACTCAAGTCTCTAAATTTTTTCCTACTTAAAGTCTAATTAAATACGATCCTGCAAGAAAGCAGCATAATAAATTTGGACCTGCAATTGAATGACTGAAAACCATGAAGAAAGCAGCATAATAAATTTAGACCTGTTATTGAAGGATTGAAAATCAAAAAATGCTCTTGCTTAGGTTTGTGAAAACACAAGAAAGAGCTCTGTGCCGAAACTTAGCTTTCATTAAATGCTTTCGGTTTCAATGGTGTGTGAATATAGCTATCCATTCACTTTCCGAAAGCAGATCAATAAGCATTTCAAAGTGAAATGAAACGATAATTTAAATATAAACATTTTCCAAAGAAAAAGGTTGATGCAAGATGAACTACAAAAACATGTTTTAACTAAGGTATTTATTACTTTTATTTGTACGGACAACTAAAAAAATGACTATATTATTTGCAGGAATCATTAAAAAAATAACTAAAATTATATTTTTAACGAATTCTAATTAATACATGAATCATCTATGAATTTATTTTCATGGATAATGAAATGGATTATACTTGAAGCTATCCTGAAGTAGTAAGCCCACTTCCATCCCATATGATTTTAAATTTTTGAAAACAAAGCGTGCTTTGCACGATACAACGCAATACAAAAGTGAAATAACTAATTGCTAGTCAATGACTGCTTTGTTTGAAAAAAAAACTGCACTTTTGAAACAACAGGAAAATTTTTCACGCATAAAGAGAAGAATCTTTTTCAGTGACTCACAGGCCAAAGGCAATGCCCGACAAAGTTGTTCAATACTTTCGTTTTCGCTTTCCAAATCGTTTTGAAAATGCATTATCTGTTTTTGACGAATCTAAAACAATAACTAAATCGTTAATTTCCAGACATATTCTCTAGCAGCAAAATATCGTTTTTCTGAAGTATACTTTCCGTATTTACATTTTTATTAAGAAAGACTTTCGGCATCAAGACCATTGATTACTGGAGTGCTTAATAGAAGCACTAATCCGGAAACCTTTTTAAAATTAATGCCAATGCTCGAAAAAAAACTGCATTTTTAAGGAAAAAGAATAGTCGTTCCTCAATTTATTCAAAAACACTCAAAATAATGTAAAATATTGGAATGCATATCGTCAGTAATACTGCTATCTCCATATCTTGGTGCGTAACGAAGATATGAAAGTCTACACAAGAAACCTACAACTTTAGTTAAACAACAATTTGGAAAATTATTTATGAATGGTGCTCAAAAAGATATGAAGACAATGTTTTCTTTCACGTGTTTAAAACGTATAATGTAATAATAAAGCAATAGCCATAATCAATCCTAACAACAATAATAATAATATTGTAACAGTAGCATCCATTCTATACCACAAAAGTATAAAAACCTGTATGCATATGTGTGAATATATAACTTCCAAAAGCAATGCCGGAAACATTTTTAAACTTTGATTCATTTGTGCAATAAATCTCACTTATTTGAGCAAAGAGAACGGAAAGATGAAAAAGATATTTCGAATCAGTTTCGAAAAATTTAACTGCCACCACCAGTTACAAAGGAGAAACTCTCTCCTCCGTCTCTCCCTCTTTTAATGACAAAGGGATGAAGAACAGCAGTAAAACGAGAAAATGTGCAATAATAATACGACAGAGACACACTTCATCAACGATGTGAAAAGAGGATTGAGTAAGAAATCAATCCCTCCTTCCTGCCTTTTGTTTCTCATTTTCAAAAATCTTTCTTATCATGCAGAAATTAAATCTGAAATTGAAGTGCATTGTAACCATTTATGGAAGACGCTGCCAATGAATTTAGATAATATCCCACATTCCCATTAACAACTCATTCAGTAAATTTTATATATCTAATTTTATTCCATGCATACTCTGCTATGATTGTTCAAAGAGGTATTAATGAGTACGTGAATTCCGCTATGAAATTCATAGGATTTCGGAAGGAAATTGAGGAAGATTTTCCGGAAAATTCAGAATGGTAGTAGAGAGGATAACAAAATAAAATCCAAAAGCAATTGCAAGAATTGCAAAAGAATCTCATCTGCAAAATCTAATAAGCAATCACCAGTGCGGATTATCAGAAGAAACCACCTTAACTGGGACTATTATAAATAATAGTTCGTGAAATTATTGTTAACTATTATAAATAATGAATTATCGCTTTATGCATGATAATTGGGGAAACACCTTAAATATTTTCATGGCTTGATTTATGAAAGTATATTAAAGGAGGAAAGAAATCAATGCCAACTGAAAGTTTGATGAATAAGGAGGATGAGGAAGAATGAAAAGATACGAGACAAAGATGACAGAGGTATGCTGTCGGTTTGTCCGTGATGCTATTTTGCTGGTTCATTTAGGGCTTTCGATGCATCTCGTCAATGAAATCAATGATAACGACGTTGACAGTGGCAATGAAAATAATCAGGAAGAAAACTGATCATTCCCGATGCTGCATTTGTTCCGTCACTATCATATATCAATTCAGGAACAGTTATTCCTACCTATTTTTGTTAAATACTTTACTATTCCAGAAAGTAAAGGGACTCTAATCCTTTTTTGATGTTTTTTTTCTTTCTTTGATTGACAGCCAAACCAAATTTGAAATGGAATTATTAGATATTGAGTCACAACTATCAACACCCACAACATCACTGTTAAACAAACACCTTATGATTGACCATTTCTTCTAATGATTATAATGATGATAAATAACAGTGACATCCATTTTACCATGAAATAAGTAGCACGCAACCACATGTTATTTAACCTTAAAATAAAAGCCAAAATTACTGCGAAAAATAAGCAGAGTCTATCACAGAAACAGAAACGAATAATAAATAGCAGCTGTAACAGCAGCATAGCATCTCACCATTTTGATGATGGGCATTATGTATGTGACGATTACGGCACTAACATACTTATTCTCCGATTATTCCTCCTCTTCCTTCTTCTCCTTCCTTCTCCTGCTACCACTCCAACTGTTTCCTTCTTCTACTGCTGCCTGAAATCGACAACGACACCGATGACGGTTGTAAAACGATGGCGATGACGATTTAAGCGGTGATGGTTGTCCTACTCGTTTGGCGTCCCATCAACCCTTCCCTCTCTCCCTAACACCACAACCACTAATCACAATCATCATCATCATTCGATGATATTTCTTACAAATATTCTCTCTCTTCCTCTCTTTATTTTCCTCTTTCTCTCATCATTTTTCTCCTCCTTTTCTCCCCTTCAATTTTTCTGAACTAACTTATTAAAACTAAACTAAGCCAACCATCCAATCTGGCACCACCACCAATGACAACCCTCAAAAACCATTGCTACCCAGTGGTCGACTGCACATATCACATACACCACACTACACTAACACACACATCGTCACATACACAAAGTAGAAATGCCATTTTGCATCAAAATGGATTGAAATGGCAAATATATGAAGCACCATCACCGGCAGAAGCATCTACAACAACACCGTTAATTGTCCCTCGTCTCCTCTTTACCCTAACACCTGCTCCCATTAAACTATGCTTGCTCCTGCTTCGCTTACATATGCATACAAAATATATGTAACATATACATATACACACAGACGACATATACTCACATACTCACACACATACACATACACACCGATTATTCAATATTATGACTCCTTGTCCTATTTTTGTTATTCCTATTGACCATGCTCTGTTGTTGGTGCACTTCGACAACTTAGAGCTTTAAAGGGCTAACTGTTTCCTACACTCAATCTTTCCTCCTCTCCGCATTACCCCTACACCCAAATTGCGGCAAACCTAACAGAGAGACCATAAGATAAATTCATCGACTATGCTGCCACATCATCTTAAAAGCTCCTTTTCCTCAAACTAATATAATCAACTGTCATTACAGTGTACATAACAAACATATACCTTCACGTATATGACTCACAAACACTAATTCATCAACACCACACACACCTATCCATTGACATCAACGTATACACTCACGTATACGCGTAGGTAAAAAATAGTTTACTAGAGGTTAATATTCAGATAATGTAGGAAAAAAGAAAAGGAAGCAACTATCGCAAGATGACAGGAGCAATGGAACGTTGAGGATATTGGATGATGCTGTGGTAGCCGAACTTGCTGCTTTGACGACGTCTCTGGCTAACTCTTTTTTTTCAACAAACCACTTATTCATTCATTCATCACATTCGAACAACATTGCAACCTTCACCGCACTATTAGTATTAACAGCATTAGCAACAACAACAACAACAACAACAACAACCAATCATTCATTATTAATCGACATGAAACCAATGAACAATATCGTCGCACAATTCAATTTCACATCTTTTCCTTATTCATTTCCAATAATTCTAGATGTATACTGATAGACAGGCATTTGTACCCTACGTGCATTCAAATATATGAAATGACAGTAATAGATCAATCAACCTCAATCAAACAATCACCTGCGTGTGTCGCGTCCTCGAATTGGGTGCTGACGAGAAATGGATGACTTCTGGCCACTATTATGTTGCTTCCTATCATTCGCTTCATCTCTCCAACTAATGCTAGACAATCACCACAAATAATACAACCTATACATACGTTTGTGCACAAGTATGCATATATACACAGATACACACATTCACACATACATACGTACTTGCACACACGCACACACATACTTAACAACCAGAAAAACGATACAAAATGTGGTCGCAACTGTATGGCGGGGGAGTGGCGGGGAGGTGGGAGAAGAGAAATAACAAGCGGGGAAGGTTGTCGAGGAAAGAGGATGGATGAGGTTGTTAAGTGTGTATGCAAGGTGGAGGGGTGTGGTGTCGTGTCAAGTGAGCAGTAGTTACGGGGTGAGAATTATTGAACGACGGAACGAATGATCGAAATGAAATTGCTACTGTTACACTCTTTTACCTTCTCATTCCTACGCATTATCATATCATATCACCAACACTCCACTAACAATAACAGCAGATAACTAATATCATTATCATTTTCATCCTATCCTAATCTTTCTTGACCTTACAACATTCAAAGGTCAGCTCTGCAAATAGTGCGGCAATCTACGAAGATCCTTATAATTGATCGAAAACATTTTACATGTGCTTCTTAACCGACTGCCAATCGGGATTTCACATCGATTCATCGGTGCAAGATAGACTATTTATCATAGCACAAAGATAATATGTGAACTGTGAAGTTCACATATTATCAAATACCAAGTGTTGCAGAAAGAATTAAACGCTTACAAACTGCATAAGTCATAATGAATAATACCGTTAACACCAGCTACCGTCTGGTCATTCCGCTTAGAATTGTTTTTTGAACATGGTCATAATGCTTTGATTTCCTAGAAGCAACATACGAAATCCATCCATCCATCCATCTGCTATCACCATGTCTGAAATATGTCAAGTGTCAAATTCTCAACAAGAGAGATCTCCTCCCCTGAATTCTTTTTTTTACCACCTGATTGCGTACATAGCAAAAATGAACTTTGAAAACAACCAAAACGTAGACAGAACACATTCTGTGCACATTCTGTATACGCTTACATGTGAATGTATCTATAAGTTAATGACGATGATCAGTTGTCGAAATCAATCAACAAAACCTCGTCTATTCTTTTACCACCGCCTACACTCCTTACACTGCCACATCAATCCCACCAGCATCATTACCACATACTACCATCATCATTAGCATCACTTATCGTTGTGCTTTTATCACCTGGAAAAAGAACTAACTCTTAAAATATACATATGTACAATATACAATAAGCAAACATGGAATTGACACATATACATCTTGTACGTAGACTACCATCATAGCATCATACCTTCTTTAAATTTTTGAAATTTGTATCTCAGAACAACACTCACAGGAATGAAAATGAAATATTTCTCGTTTTGATATATTTATAAAAACAAAAAATCGAAATAATAATTACGCTTTAAATGAAACGAATTTATTAGCAGTAGCATTTATCCCAACAGTAAAGATACTGCATATTTGTCCAAAGCCTTTAAGCTAATATTACTTTAAATTTATTTAAAACCTTTTCAAACCTCAGCTAATATGAATCCATAAAAAATTGCATAAACTTAAACTGCATAAACATACAAAAAAATTACTTCTTTTCGTAATAAATTGTAAGTATATATTGATATTACAACTTTTTGATCATTATTTGGACGTATATAAATGGAATCGATTGGAATCGAGTACACACTGCGTATAAAAAATTCAAAGCAATCCTCTTGGTATAAGGAAAGTAAAAAAAAGCACAAATCACACAAATATACTAAACTGATTTCTTGCATCATTACTAACATTAAGATTCAAAATAGCAATGATGTTGTTATTAAAAATTTTTCGAGAAATACAAAGAATTATGTTCTTTTCTTTACTTTCCACTAACCTTTACCAAAGGGATCGCTTCGAATTTTCTATGTGTGATGTGTACTCGATTCTAATCATATATGGTTAAATGACAATCCAAAAGTTGTGATGCCGATATATACTTACAATTTATTCGCTTACGCATACTTTCTTATTAAAAATTCACGTGTTATTTTCCATATCTACATTATACACATGCATTTTACGCACTATAAAAATAAGCTTTTCACACTCATATGTTATGTACTGCATATATATATATATACATGTGGTACAGAAATATGTATACATCTATGTAACTGACATCGATAAGAGAAACAGATATTTCAAAATTTTAAAAGAGTCATCGGTACGCTATTTCCAGATTTATTACTTACGGTAATAATAACAGTTTGTTTTGTTAGCAGAGAAACTGAGCAAATCTTTCTGCTATGTTTGAACTTCCCATACTACGAATTCATCATATCTTCATAATTAGTTATCACGCAATCATGTGATGACGCAATTCGATCAGCTCAGCAGTCGACACACTTTTCACTTTTTCATGGAGAATGATTTATGTGTAACTTTCACGAAACATTTGTGTGCATTCTTAGAAGTGAAATTTTATGTAAATAACAAAATCAATTGCAAGTGCAAAAATCATAAAAATAAAAATTATTCTTACCTGAATAATATCTTGTTCATGTGATGATCTAATATATCGGAATCTCAAAGAGACTTATATCCGCAAGTTATAATGAACAGATTAGCCACTTGGTAAGTCTCGTCTACGCATTCAATAATCAATTTCGTACAGCATTCTCACGTGAATACTTCATCTTTGATGACGATAATCGATGCGCCACCATATTTCACCACTTGTCAACGGCAAAACTATAAAAGTAAAATTGCACTAACATGAATGATATTAGACATAAAACTGCTCATCAAATACAAACTTCACACTTCATGTATAGTCTAAATGCATTACATTTCCAAGCAAATCATTTGAATATCAATTTTTGTTTTCTAAAAAATTTGTTTTTCATTTTTTTATCCTTTCCTGTTTTTTGCACTATTCTAGCCGATTAATCGTGGCTAGAGAAGAAATTAGTATGCAAGGTTGCGAGAAATAGTAGAAGTCGAGGAATAACGAACAACAGTGAGTGAATGAGATGATTGCTTGTTTGACCTTTGAAAGATAATAAAAACTAGGCTAAACTATGAACAAGGCATTATGACTAGAAAAAAAATCATACATACACTATAATCTTTAAAATTTGAATTCCCGAAAGATACACTAAGACAAGCATAAAGCATGTAATTGTTATCGCTCTCTGATATAAAGAAATAATACCGAACCAATGCTCCTCCTCTTCATACCAGATTATCATATTCATTTCATTTCAGAATGTAAGCACTCGATAATGGAACATGATAACTAACAATCAACTGTTAACGAGTTTTATCTCATCCAAAACTGTCATTATCTAAAGAGATTCATTCATAGACTATACAATTCAACCGAATAATCTCCCAGTAAGTCTTATATACGCGTATAACAAATAGTTCCTTATTTTCACAATACCTACTGAAACGAATGTATACCTTCTCATTGACAGATAAAAATATTTCATGTACTCCCATCATTCCAAATTGGCTATTAAATTGATGCATAATACACACTTATATATCTATACGTATCAATAAAACAAAAGAAAACTACATCGTCTTACAGCAGTTTTTTGTAAAATTAACATACTAAAGTGAACAGCATATGTATGCGTGTGTATGTGTTTAAAAAAACTAAATTGTTTAAAAGTATTTCGTATTGATACAAGAGAAGAAATATTTCCTATCACGCTTCCTATACGTTAAAAATTGACAGTTTCACTTGTGCAAACGACACTGATGATGTGATTCTAAAAAGGGAAACTTATGCAAGTAAATGTCTAAGGGTTACATATACAGCATAAAGTACAACCTTTTTCCAAAACTTGTAGTAACTTTCCTTTTAAATCGAACATTGAACTTTGCTACAGCGTATAAAAGAAATTATCGAGGGACATCTTTAACATTGATCCTGTTATCTTCAACGTTATACGTTATTTTCAACATTGATCCTGTAACTTGAAAAATTTTCGTTCTCATTATTTTACTATTATAATTTCCTTGATGAGCATCATATATATCAAGAAGCCTTTGTGAAAATTCCTTATCCATTATTGATTTATGAAAATATTTCATCGGCATCACCACGTGTACTGAAATATGAGATAGTGTTTAATACAAGATAGTTGAAAATTTGAAAAAAAAAACAAAAGTTCAAGGAAAATCTTTCTGGAAATATTTAAAGGTTACTTTTCCACAAAAAACCTTGGAAAACTTATTGGTGATAAACACTGAAAACAGTTCTGTCTCCCACTAAATACTAGTTGTCGAACTATTAATTGTATTTATTAGATTTTGTGATTAATCTTTGAGGAATATAAAATCATTCATCCGAGAATACTTCAAAACATAATTCATGCAGTCAGTTTTAAAAAACGTTGCTTTGAACAAAAAAGAACAATTAATAAAATTATGAAATTAAATTGTTTTTGAAATAGAAACAAAAAAAAGAAGGGAAAAATATAGAAATAACTTTGAGGTGTAAGAATAGTAGGTAACAGTACTAAAAACAGTTCTGTCATTATTTTTGGTAATTCTATCATCATCAATAATAAGAAAGCGGTAAGGTAAGGAATTTCAGAATTTTATTTTGAAAATTCCGTACTGAATTATTTAATTTCTTATTATCTTTATGACAAGACTAAATAAACATAGTACAGTTATTTAAACCAAAATGCACCATCAGAAACACTGCTTGTTATCTCAATACATACATATATATACTCACATATCCACACTATACATACATTCTCACATACACATGCTTAGGATACAATGACATATACGAACATACACATATATCCTCGAGAGAATCAATGCTGCTCTCTGTGCTATTGCTCCCACTGCTAATGATTGGTTACATACACTCACATACACACACATACATATATATGTACACATATATTTATAACCTTTGATCAAACTGTTTAAATTGAATTTAAATTCAAACACAGTTCAATCACTTATTTTTCTGATAAACAAATGTATAAATTTCAAGCATGTATGTAGATATGTTGGAATGCATATGTATGTTGTATGTATGTATGTGTGCGCGCAGGTGTGCAAAAAATGATCAGTAATAATAACAGGACAGCAAGGCCAACATTACCCATCGCCATTCGCCATCGTCAGAGCACCTGCGCCCGGGCAGTAGTGCTCATTGCCATGCTATTACTACTACTACTACTACTACTACTTATCACCGCCATCTTTTGAAAACGAAAAAGGGAAAAATTGGGGGAATTCGGAATGATATGACCAATAAAGGAAGAGAATGGACATAATGAATATATCGTCTTACATTTATCTTCCTTTGCCGGGATGAAAATTTGGCAGTTAACCGGATATGGTAAAATATAAGATATGAGAGATTGAGGGTAAGCGCTGATATATCAAACATATCGTCTTACATTTATTATTTAAGCGCGTTGATATATCGAACAAAAAGTAGTTATAAAGTGATAGTGTGAGTTGAGCCAAAAAAGTTGAAGTCTCCATCGTTATCATGTGCATGGCCTTATATTTCCTATTACTGCAATGGGTTTCCTGCCTGGTTGTTACTTTCCGGAAAAGATATTCAGTCCAATTCTTTTTCACGATATAAATTTAAAATTTTTACTATCATGGAAGAAAAAGACCACTTGGATGTGTAAATAATGTGACAATTAGAGAAAGAAAATAAACCCTGCGACAATGTTGAAGGACAAATTGATAATTGAAGTGGAAGGAAGAGTACAACTTTTTCGAAAAGTTGACCTTTATCAATAGAAAAGTTGAAATTTCAAAATTCTTTAACAGATTTATGACGAATAGTCTAAAATGATTGAATCTTTTTCCCGAAATGACAATATTCCATAATCTGTATCCATCGTATCAACCGGAGATATGCTACTACACTGATTTTATGCTTCATTTCCACCTCTACGGTAAATCAATTTCATTTATTTCAGGGGGAAAAAGATTTCAATCATTTTAGTAAATTTAATTTGTTTTTAAATTTTGGAGATAAAATTTTGCTAGTTATTAATTATTAGTAGAGTATTAGCAATAGTTAAAGTGAAACTTATTTCACTTCTCATAATTTGCTTCAAAAAATATAATTCGAATTTCAATATATTACAAGACAATTATGACAAAATATATTTTAAAAA